ACTCCCTCAAGCCAATTGCTGTTTTCCCACTTAGAATCATAGAGTTGGAAGAGACCACATGGACCATCTAGTCCAGCCCCCCGACATGCAGGAAAAGCACAAAGCACCCCCCACAGATGACCATTTGCCCTATGTTGAAAAGCCTTCAAAGAAGGAGCCCTCACCAGACTCTGATCAGCGAGTTTCCCTACTGAACAGCTCTCATGCTCAGAAAGCTCTTTCTAATGTTTAGGTGGAATCTCCTTTTCTGTCATTTGAACCCATTCCTCCATTGAATTATAGTATTCAAGGCAGCAGATATCCAGGGTATCCAGGGCAGCAGAAAACAAGCCTGCTGGGGAGGCCCTCCTCTCGGTCCCACTACCATCTCAAGCGCGGTAGGTGGGGATGAGAGAGAGGGCCTTCTCAGTGGTGGCCCCCCGCCTCTGCAACGCCATTCCAAGGGAAATAAGAAAGGCCCCATCCCTTCCCTCCTTTCGTAGCACTTGAAGACCTGGTGGTTTCAACAAGCCTTTGAAAATGACCAGTTCTAACTCAGCCCTATACATTGTCGAATACAGCCTTATTCTTCCTACCAATTACCCAGATCATTTCCTCTAATCAGCCCCGGAATGAACAGCCACAGACCCGTACCTAATATTATTGTTGCCTGCCATAGCATTGCACTTAATTCCCGGTCCCCTAGAATTTTTGGGCTTGCACAAATCTTGGCTGGCCTTTTAAATTTTTTAAATTGCCTTGAACAGGCAGGATTACTTTTAATATATGTGTGTTATGGCGACAATTTTTATGTTTATATTTTGTTTTGTTAATCTTATGGTTATGTTGTTTTTATCTTGTATGTTTTGCGATGTTACCTGGGAACTGCTCTGAGTCCCCTCGGGGAGATAGAGCGGTATATAAATAAAATTGTATTATTATTTTATATTATCTAAAATCCCAACAGCTCTCTCACATGAATCCCTCCCTTCTTTCCCTTTTCTCCTTTCCTCCTTCCTTCTCTTTTGTCTTTCCTTCTTCTCTCTTTCCTTCCTCCTTCCCTCCCACTTTCTCCTTCCCTCCTTCCGTCCGTCCGTCCTTCCTTCCTTCCCTCCCTCCCTCCCTTCCTTTCTTCCTTCCCTCCTTCTCTCCTTCCTTCCTTTCCTCCCTCCCTCCCTTTTGTCCTCTTAATCTCTTTCTTTCCTCCTTACCTCCCTCTTTCTCCATCCTTTCCTCCCTCCCTCCCTTCCTCCCTTCCTTCCCCCTCTCCCTTCCTTCCCTCTCTCCCTCCCTTTTGTCATCTTTCTCTCTTTCCTTCCTCCTTACCTCCCTCTTTCTCCATACTTTCCTCCCTCCCTCCCTCCCTTTTTGTCTTTCTTTCCTTCCCTCTTTCCTTTCTCCTTCCCTCCACTCCCTTCCCTCTTTTTCCTTCCTTCCTTTCCTTCCCTTTTCCTCCCTCCTTCCCTCTCTCCTTTCTCCTTCCATCCTTTCCGTCCTCCCTTTCGTCCTTCCTCCCTTCTCTCTTTCTTTCTTTCCTCCTTCCCTTCCTTCCATCCATCACCAGGCAGCCAGTCCTCTTAGCAGGGAGTGCTAGCAAGTTAGAAAGTTTGCCTATGCTTGGTCTGTTGTATCATCAAAGACATAGAGGGAGAGGGGGTCTCATTATACACATTCTTTATTATAGGGAGGAAGTGAAGTAAAAGAAAAAAAGTTCCAACTCTGACATCTTTTCTAATAAGAGTAACAGATTATCCTTCTGAATCTGCATTGATTTCTTTTATCTTCTTATATTGTCCCTTCTTCTCTTCTCCTCCAACTCTGCCTAGTATTCCTTCTCCTTATTTTATCCATTAACTAATGCAAACTCTATTTTTTCTACTCTTGATGGCAGCCAAGTATAGCAATATCTTAAAGTTAATTTCTTTGGTCAGTAGATTAGTAATATACAAGTAAATATGTATTATACTGATCTATCATTCACATAGGATCTATATGTAATCAATCTTCTTATATAAATGTACAGTAGAATCTCACTTATCCAACCTTCGCTTATCCGACATTTCTCTTATCCAACACCCACTTTTCCTCCAGCATTTCCCCTTCAATTAAAGGAGCGCGCCCCAACTCTCTCTCCATTCCCAATAAGGAAAAAAGGCAAGACAAGGAGGAGAAGAAAGGAGGAAAGGGGGAAAATTGGCAGGACCAGGAGCGGAAGTGTCCTCCCTCCTTCCCTCTGTGATTTCCATGCTCCTCTTCTACATCCGGGCACTTCCTGCTGGACCGCTCTAGCCCCAAGGCGTTGCCTTAACTTAACCCTCAGAGTCCCTCCTGTTAGTATTCTAAGTGTCTAGCGCCACGTCCGACAGGTAACAGTAGGAGACTCGGTATTATCCGACATTTTCATTTATCCAATGTCCTGCCGGTCCGTTGATGTCGGACAAGCAAGAATCTACTGTATGTTCTGGAACAGCTGTTCCAGGAGCTCCAATTTTATTTGCTTTGAATTAAATGTTGGTTTGCAATCCCAGGCTTGGGATTTTGCAGCAGGGTGGCTTCCTGTTATAGTTTGCAATCATAGGGCAAGCTACCTGTCTATTATAGTTAGGATCCCTGGTCCCGCCCCTCTCTGGGTTTTTTGGAGGGAAGGGGCCATTTTTCAGTTAGTCTCAGCAAAGGAAGTCAATGCAGAGGATGTATACAGACGCCCTCCTGGGCAAAGGCTTCGTCCCTTAAGACTTTCCGGGGGAGAACAGTCTTGAGAGCCTCTAAAGATTCCCAAAGGTTCCGGGGAAACAGCCTTACAGCCCTGAGGAATTCCGGAGGGAATAACAGCTCTAACCATCAAAGCAGCTAAGTGATTACAAGCCTTTTGATAGGTTCACTCGGCGTTGAGACGTAGTTCAGCCCGGTAGTGAATCCACATCAATAAGGTTTAGGTTCACAGCAGCCTGGGAGGAGCTAGAAAGGGGAATTTTCCTTTAAACAAGGTTTTTGAAGATAGTGCCTGTTCCCTGTGAACAAGATTGCAAGAGCCAAGAGATTGTTAAGAAAGTTTTACAATTCCTGTTTGTTCATCAATAAAAGACTGTTATATTTAAGCTCAAGCCTCATAAAGACTGTTTAATAAGGGAAATTTCTCTAAAGGCTTCTTTTCGGGGGCCCTGGCTTCCCGCTGGATCCAAGCCATACATCCTCTCTTAAAGGCACTTCATTTCAGGTCCAGCGGCGACAGAACACTGTATATGCTGTAATATTTTATTATTATCTGATGCTATGTGGTGGGGCTGCAGGTATGGCTTATACTTGGTCATATTTGACACATTTGTGGAAATCATCACCACAAATGGGAGACTGCATCCCCGATTCAGCTTGACCTTCATAAGGTTGAAGCTGTATTCATGATTCAGCTTTTCTGAGAGTGAACCCCACTAACCTGAGTAGAACCTATTTCTTTCACCTGTATATACATTTAATTGTGGAAAAGAGGGTGTGCTAAATGTCTCTTCTAGTTTCTTTTGAAAATGCTTCCATTGGTTTATTGTGACATGAATTACTCACCACTCAAAGGCTGTTTCATCAGATGCAGGAAGTTCACCAAGAAACTGGTTAGTAGAACCATACTGCACAATAACAAGTTTGTAGGGTAAGAACTAAAGACAAAAGGAGTGCAAAACCACATCCTGGTTTTTTTAAAAACAATAACTTGCTCTTATGTTTTTGAGGCTTTAAAACACATTTCTCTCACCTCTTCATTGCTGCAGGAAAAGATGGAGGTGAGGTACAAAAATATTATTATTATTATTATTATTATTATTATTATTATTATTATTATTATTATTTGAAACACAACAAGATGAGTCCACAGCAGACAAGATCACTCTGCTGGCTGTTGTATTGGATCACACGTCGGACACTTCCCAAGTGTCTAAGACTGTGTGATGTATCAACAAATAATGTGTGCAGATCCCAATAAGGTGGCCTTCTGCAGCTGGCAGATGGTAATCTTCTCTGTGCTGATTGTGTTTAAGTGCAGGCCAAGGTCTTTAGGCACTACACCCAGTGTGCCGATCACCACTGGGACCACCTTTACTGGTTTGTGCCAGAGTCTTTGCAGTTCGATCTTTAAATCCTAAACGGTTCCGGCCCTACTTACCTCTCCGAACGCATCTCCACCTATGAACCGACTAGGACATTAAGATCGTCTGGGGAGGCCCTGCTCTCGGTCCCGCCCGCATCGCAGGCGCGACTGGCAGGGACGAGGGACAGGGCCTTCTCTGTGGTGGCCCCTCGGCTGTGGAATGCCCTACCTGTGGACATCAGACAGGCCCCTTCGCTGTTGGCGTTCCGGAGGAAGGTCAAGACTTGGCTTTACGAACAAGCGTTTGGCTAAATAGTGCAATGGAATACAGGAAGATGGTACAACCGAACATAGCAATTGGTACAAAGGATTATGATTACGGATTATGATTCTGATTCTGATTTGTTGCTGAGGCGCTACGATTATGATAATGTTGTTTTTTGACTTGTATGTCCTGTATAATGTGTTTTAATTGCCTTTGGATATTGTTGTGATAACTTGTATTATGTAAACCGCTTTGAGTCACCATTTCGGCTGAGAAAGCGGTATAGAAGTAAAGCAAATAAATAAATATCGTGTCAGCTTTTCCAGTTGTGCTCCAGAACTCTGTCTGTCTAAATTCTGAAGTCCCAGAGTAATTTGATGTGTTCATTTTGTTGTTGTTGTTGTTGTTATTCAATGCAGTTAATTTGCATTCTGAAACTGCATTGTATGGCAGTTTCACTGCATCATGCTCCTCCCCTAGAGTTTCTGTTGACTTCTCATCCCACTCCCCAAGCCTTCTCCATAAGGAAGAGATTTTGGATGGAATTCCTGGTGCCCTTCCACCAGTTGACAGTTTCCAAGTTTCTCTGGAAGTCACTTCAATGAGCATTAAAAAATTATGTTGCATTTCACATGTTTAATTTGGTATGAACATTATTTCTTTCTTTGTTTCTTTCAGTATGTTGCTTCCTCGCTTCACAAGAATTGAACTGATTGGGAAATAACCATCTGCAGAGCAACACCTAGACTCTGAATTCTTCCTCCTGAATGCATCTCTTACCCATGGCAACAAAGAGGGTAGTGATCCTTCTCTGTTGGCTGAACCGTGCCATTCAATGTAGAGGGACAATGTGCTAACTGACCACACCTGAGAGGCCTTTAAAGAAGACGTGGGAGACTGACTCCTACCAAATCACTTGCCATGGATCAAGACATCAACATAGATGCCTTGCTGGACCTCAGCTTCCTGACAGAGGAGGAGCAGAATGCCATTGCAGACGTTCTAAGGAGGGATTCGCAGCTTCGGATGCTGGAGGAGGGACGAATCAGGTATGAAAGCCAGCCCAGGGGTGAGAGTCCCAACAAATGGGGACTGAGGGAGGTGTTGGGCAGGCAGTTGTCAATTTTAATCTGCATTTACCTGTGGATTTTAACTTGCATTTAAAAACGTTGTGTAATACAATAAGATACATAAAAACAAGAGCTAAAATACTATTAAAAGACATACAATGTCTTTTAATAGTATTTTAGCTCTAGTTTTTATGATGTATTTATTGTTATTATTATTACTGTTATTATTATTATTATTATTAGTACGTGTGAAAAAGATCTTGGAGTCCTTGTGGACAACAAGTTAAACACGAGCTAACAATGTGATGTGGCGGCAAAAAAAGCCAATGGGATTTTGGCCTGCATCAATAGGAGCATAGTGTCTAGATCTAGGGAAGTAGTGCTACCCCTCTATTCCGCTTTGGTTAGACCACACCTGGAATATTGTGTCCAATTATGGGCACCACAATTGAAGAGAGATATTGAGAAGCTGGAATGTGTCCAGAGGAGGGCGACTAAAATGATCAAGGGTCTGGAGAACAAGTCCTATGAGGAGCGGCTTAAGGAGCTGGGCATGTTTAGCCTGAAGAAAAGAAGGCTGAGAGGAGATATGATAGCCATGTATAAATATGTGAGAGGAAGCCACAGGGAGGAGGGAGCAAGCTTGTTGTCTGCTTCCTTGGAGACTAGGACGCAGAACAATGGCTTCAAAGTACAAGAGAGGGGATTCCATATGAACATGAGGAAGAACTTCCTGACTGTGAGAGGCATTCAGCAGTGGAACCCTCTGCCCCGGAGTGTGGTGGAGGCTCCTTCTTTAGAAGCTTTTAAACAGAGGCTGGATGGTCATCTGTCAGGGGTGATTTGAATGCAATATTCCTGCTTCTTGGCAGGGGGTTGGACTGGATGGCCCATGAGGTCTCTTCCAACTCTTTGATTCTATGATTCTATGTAAATAAACAAAAGCAGCAGCAGGAATTTGACAGATCAGAAACTTCTGGTGCCAGCAGTAGAGTGGTTAAGCTTGAGCAATTCCAGAGCAGATTCAACCTTAACAGTTGTAAAAGATTTTGTATTCAAAGAACTATGAGGGTTATCCAGAAAGTAAGTTTTTAAAATAAAAATAAAAATGAAGAATGACTATATTTTAATCAAACTTACATGGATTGTAGCATAGGTATTACATTACTTTTCCACATAATCACCATTCAGTTCAATACATTTTGTCATCTGTGGGACGAGTTTTTGATGCCTGTGTCATAGAAATTTCCCTCAACCTTTTTCAGCAAGTTCGTCACTTTGATTTTATTTATTTATTTATTTTATTTATTAATGCGCTTGTATACCGCTAATATCTCAGCCTAAATCGGCGACTCATTGCGGTTTACAACACTTAAAAAACAACAATATTCAGTTTAAAAGCATAAAACACATATACAATACAAATTATTGGGCCACCAATAACAATCCAATGCATCTCGTAACTGGAATCACAATCCAAATTCATCGTCCATGATTACCAATCCTTTAGTCATCAAAATTCGTTGCAACGGATTAACCGAATGCTTGTTCAAACATCCATGTCTTCAATCTTTTCCGAAACACCATCAGCGAGGGGGCTGATCTTACCTCTATGGGGAGGGTGTTCCAAAGCCGAGGGGCCACCACAGAAAAGGCCCTGTCTCTCGTTCCCGCCAGCCGCACTTGTGAAGCCGGCGGGATAGAGAGCAGGGACTCCCAGAAGATCTTAGGGTCCTGGTGGGCTGATAGGCTGAGATACGTTCGGATAGATAAGTTGGGCCAGAACCGTTTAGGGCTTTAAAGGCCAACGCGCAGCACTTTGAATTGAGCCCGGTAGCATATCAGCAGTCAGTGGAGCTGGTGCAGCAGAGGAGTTGTATGTTCCTGCGCCCTGCTCCTGTTAGTATCATGGCTGCCGCCCGTTGGACTAATTGGAGCTTCCGGCCGTCTTCAAAGGCAACCCCACGTAGAGAGCGTTGCAGTAGTCAAGACGGGATGTAACCAGAGCGTGGACTACCGTGGCCAAGTCAGACTTCCCAAGGTACAGTCGCAGTTGGCGCACAAGTTTTAACTGTGCGAATGCTCCCCTGGTCACCGCCGAAACCTGGGGTTCCAGGCTCAGCGATGAGTCCAGGATCACACCCAAACTGCGAACCTGCGTCTTCAGGGGGAGTGCGACCCCGTCTAACACAGGCTGTAACCCTATCCCTGTTCGGCCTTGCGACTAACCAGGAGTACCTCTGTCTTGTCTGGATTCAATTTCAATTTGTTCGCCCCCATCCAGACCCGTCACAGCGGCCAAGCACCGGTTCAGGACCTCGACAGCCTCCTTAGTAGCAGGTGGGAAGGAGTGACAGAGTTGGACATCATCTGCGTACAGATGACATCGCACTCCGAAACTCCGGATGATCTCGCCCAGCGGCTTCATGTAGATGTTAAACAACATGGGAGACAGTATTGAACCCTGAGGAACCCCACAAGACAAAGGTTGTGGTGTTGAACAGGTGTCTCCCAGTAACACCTTCTGAGACGACCCTCGAGGAATGACCGGAGCCACTGCAAAACAGTACCTCCAAGACCCATCCCCGCGAGGCGTCCCAGAAGGATACCGTGGTCGACGGTATCGAAGGCCGCTGAGAGGTCCAGCAGCAACAACAGGGACACACTCCCCCTGTCGAGCTCCCGGCGCAGATCATCCACTAAGGCGACCAAGGCTGTCTCGGTACCATGCCCCGGCCTAAAGCCAGACTGTGCCGGATCCAGATAATCCGTGTCTACCAAGAATGCCTGGAGTTGTGAGGCCACCACACGTTCCAAGACTTTGCCCAAAAAGGGGAGATTGGAAACAGGCCGATAGTTGACGAATTGAGTGGGGTCCAGTGATGGTTTCTTCAACAGCGGTTTTATCACAGCTTGCTTTAAGCTGGCTGGAATTTTGCCCTCCCGAAGGGAGGCATTAACCACCACCTTCACCCACTCGGCCAATCCCCCTCTGGCCTCCTTTAGAAGCCAGGATGGGCAGGGGTCTAGGATGCATGTGGTAGCTCTCATTCCTCCAAGCACCTTGTCCACATCCTCGGATTGAACCAATTGAAATGAATCCATCAAAACCGGACAAGCAGATGCTCGTGTTACATCCTCAGATACTGCCGTTAATATGGTATCCAGTCCAGAGCGGATCAAAGCGACTTTGTCTGCGAAGAACCGAGCAAAGGCTTCGCAGCGAGCTGCCGAGTCATCAGGGCACCCATCCTGAGTGGCGGGTTTTAATAGGCCTCTGACAACTCGGAACAGTTCGGCCGGACGGTTCTTTGCAGACGCAATAGTGGCCGCGAAGAAAGTCTTCTTTGCGGCTTTTATTGCCGCGGCATATGCCCTTAAAAAGGACACAAACCGTGTTCGATTTGGCTCGCTCGGATCCGAACGCCACACGCTCTCTAGTTCCCTCTATTGCCCTAGTCATCTCCCCATTCCAGAGAGCGACCAGAGCATCAACAGGATCACCAACCGAGGTGGCGGGAAATTCCCCAAGAGCCATCAGGAATCCATCCGGATCCATAAGCCTCCTGGGGCGGACCAATTTAATGGGTCCTCCACCTCTGCGGAGGTTAGGGGGTGCAGTGAGTCTAAAGCTGACCAGGTGGTGGTCGGTCCATGGCAACGGAGAGATGGATAACTCCTCAACACCGCCACCTTCCTCCCATCCCTGGCAGAAAACCAAGTCCAATGTATGTCCAGCACTGTGGGTGGGGCCAGATACCTGTTGGGACAGCCCCATGGTTGCCATGGTAGACATGAAGTCCTGAGCTGCTCCCGATAGGCGGCCTCGGCATGGACATTGAAGTCCCCCAGCACAAGCAGCCGTTGGGACTCCAATGCCAGGTCCGAGACCACCCCTGCTAGCTCAGGTAGGGAGACTGTAGTGCAGCGAGGTGGATGGTACACTAACAGAATCCCTAATCTGTCCCGGTCACCCACCCTCAGGTGGACGCATTCAAAATTTGTTGACTGCGGGATGGGGGCCTGGTCAGAAGAATGGAATCTCTATAGACCACTGCAACTCCGCCTCCCCGCCCTCCGGATCTCGGTTGGTGCTGCACAGAGAAACTGGTGGGCAAAGCTGGGTTAAATTTACACCTCCCGCTTCGTCCAACCAGGTCTCTGTGATGCACGCCAGATCTGCCCGTTCATCCAGGATTAAATCCTGGATGAAAGTTGTTTTACCGTTGACAGATCTGGCGTTCAACAGCACCACTTTCAATTCGGAGGGACCGCCATCCTGGTTACACCGACTTACCATATCAGGAGACCGATTTGGGATTACTAATGTTGTTCCACGTTCCCTAGGCCGAATTAAAGGTCTCCTTTTCCCGTATCTCCCCCTCCCCACCTTTCACTTTGTCATCATCGGAAAAGTGTTTTCCATCCAGTTGTTTTTTCAACGTAGTAAACAGATGATAGTCACTGGGTGCGAGATCTGGACTGTGAGAAGGGTGGTTTAAAACATCCCATCCAAATGAAGTCCACAACTCTTGTGTTGCATGAGTGGTGTGCGGATGCGCATTGACCTGTAGGAGGCAGACTCCCACATTCAGCATCTCATGACATTTGTTTTGGATGGCTCTGCGAAGTTTCTTCATGGTGTCACAATATATTCTGTACTCATTTTGCCACATGCTGTCTTGCCATTATGTCCTCTCCATAAAATGAAACAATTTTGCGATGAATCGCAGCGGTGTTGATGCCCTTAGCATTTCAGTAGTGTATTACAGCACGAACTTTGCCCTTGGAGGGAAAGGGAATGAAGGCGCTCATCTCTAACCTTCACCACAACATCAGTGGATGAGCTACTGACGACTGGCACTGCTCGTTCACTTCCGCTGGCTTCCTGCTACACGGCAGTGATACCAACATCCCATGAGAAAATTCCCTGCGAGAGCTATGTGCCTTGTAACCTTTCTTTCTGGATAACCCTCATGCATATCTAGATAGGACCTATCCATCTAACTAACTAGCTAACTAACTCACAGCAGACACCTTGTCTCTCCATGCTCACAGAAGAAGACTAAAAGAAGAACCAAATCGAGGACTCGGGGGGGGGGGGGGTTTGCCACGTGCTCTGAAAAAGGCACGTTCCTGAGAAGTATCAGTCTAACCAGCAAAGGATAGAAGGGGAGATCAGAGTGGCATGCAAACAGAGAGGCCCATAGGCCAATGATGGGCAATCTTTTGAGCTTGGTGTGTCAAAATTTGCCAAAAACCTGAACATAACTTGGGTAGAGTGTCCCTTCGAGAAAAAAACCCCATAATTTTGCAATATTTATAGTTTAAATAAGAAAAATGTATAATCCATGCTGAGTTATGGAGTGAACAATGCTCAAAAATGCAGATGTTAAATTTGTAGAGCCTTTTGCAATTAGATTGGCTCTTATAAGGTGTATTTCTCTGTATGTGGCCACATGTGTCTGTGTGTCATCAAAAATAGCTATGTGTGTCACTGCTGACATGCGTGTCATAGGTTCACCATCACGGCCATAGGCGAAAGTATTTTACCTGTCATCAGACTCACCTGCCTATCTCAGTCCTTGATGGGGACTATAAGCTTGTGCAGGATGTGGCTGAGTCCCAGCAAGAGGTGGTGTACATATAGCACTCCAGATATTGGGTAATAATGAAAAAGATCTTGGAGTCCTTGTGGACAACAGGTTAAATATGAGCCAACAGTGTCATGCGGCGGTTAAAAAAGCCAGTGGGATGTTGGCCTGCATAAATAGGAGTCTAGTGCCTAGATTCAGGAAAGTCATGCTACCCATGCTCTATTCTGCCTTGGTCAGACCACACCTGGAATCACACTGTGTCCAATTCTGGGCACCACAATTGAAGGGAAATGTTGATTCTTAAGCTGGAAGGCGTCCAGAGGAGGGCAACTCAAAGGATCAAGGGCCGGGGGGAGCAGCTGAAAGAGCTGGACATTAGGGCCATGGATCAAAATGTGAAGAGAAGTCATAGGGAGGAGGGAGCAAGCTTGTTTTCTGCTGCCTAGGGCATGGAACACTGGCTTCAAACTACAGGAAAGGAGATTCCACCTGAACATAAGGAAGAACTTCCTAACTGTGAAAGCTGTTCAGCAGTGGAACTCTCTCTCTGCCCCAGAGTGTGGTGGAGGCTCCTTCTTTAGAGGCTTTTAAACAGAGGCTGGATGGCCATCTGTCAGGGGTGCTTTGAAGGCGATTTTCCTGCTTCTTTGCAGAGGGGTTGGACTGGATGGCCCACCAGGTCTCTTCCAACTTACGATTTTATGATTCTACTGCTGTGGCCAACCTTCCCTCCCTCTTTCTCTCCTTCCTTCCTTCCTTCCTTCCTTCCTTCCTTCCTTCCTTCCTTCCTTCCTTCCTTCCTTCCTTCCTTCTCTCCTTCCTTCATTCTCTTCCTCTTCCCTTCCCCCCCCCCTTTTCTTTCCCTTCATCTTTCTCCCCTTTCATCCTTCTCTACCTATTCTTGGACTGCAACTCCCAGCAGTCCTCCTGATCGTTCTATCTACCTACCTACCTATCTCTATTTAAACTATCTATGTGGAGGATTGCTAGAAGTTGCAGTCCAGGAATAGGAAATTGGAAATATGCAAGGACTGGGATGCTCTCAAAGAAATCCAAGGAGAAGAAAGCTTCCATCATGGAAGCAGTGCATTTGGATCATTCTCCTCTCCTAAAGGACCTGGATTAGAGGATGCTAGAAGCTGTAGTTCAGAAGAGAGTGTGGATATACTATTGTATGTTTTGTTTGCCAGGGGAGTCATTTTTGCGCATGTGCTATAGCATCTTTTTGCTTTTGACATTTTTAGTCCCTTCCTCTGTGTTTTTCAGTATTTTTATGAGTGATGGTCACTCATTGTCATGGAGTCCCCGGTGGCACAGTGCGTTAAACACCTGTGCCAAGAGGACATGTCGCAGGTTTGAAACCAGGGAGAGCGCAAATTAAGCTCCCTCTGTCAGCTCCAGCTCCTCATGCAGGGACATGAGAGAAGCCTCCCAAGGATGATAAAATATCAAAAACATCCAGGTGCCCCTGGACAACGTCTTTGCAGACGGGCAATTCTCTCACACCAGAAGCAACTTGCAGTTTCTCAAGTTGCTCCTGACATGACAAAATAAATAAATAAATAAATAAATAAATAAATATTGGCCTGATAGGTGTATTATGTCCAAATTTGGTGTCTATTTGTCCAGTGGTTTTTGAGTTATGTTAATCCCACAAATGAACATTACATTTTTATTTATATAGATGATTCTACCATTAGCTATGCTGTCTGAGGTCATTGGAATTGGGATCTCAACACCATCTGGAGAAGTATGCAATTCCCATGCTTGGTGTCTATGAATTAGGAGACTGGCTGAGCAATCTTGCATACTTCTACTCAGATGTAGACCCTACTGAGTTCTGTTGGGCCTAGAATTGTTGCCTAAAATTCTACTTTTAGATAAAAGTAAAGGTTTCCTCTTGACATTAACTCTAGTCGAGTCCAACTCTGGGTGGTGGTGCTCATCTCCATTTCTAAACTGAAGGGCAGGCATTGTCCGTAAACACCTCCAAGGTCATGTGACCAGCAAGGCTGCATGGAGTGCTGTTACCTTCCCACCAGAGCGGTACCTATTGATCTCACGTTTGCATGTTTTTGAACTACTAGGTTGGCAGAAGCTGGGGCTAACAACAGGAGCTCACCCCGTCCCACAGTTTTGAACTGCTGACCTTCCAGTCAGGAAGTTCTGCAGCTTAGCAGTTTATCCCGCTGTTCCACTGCGGCCCCTTGCTTGTAGGTAGCACCCTATAACTTCATTTTCCCTCTGTCCCCACTCTCTCAAGCAAACTGCGTGAGTCTGTCTCAGATCCCAACTGGCTGAAGATCTTATCCGGAGACTGGTTTTGTGATCTTCGCGCCAAGCGGCATCATCACAAATTTTTCGGTGCAGATATTGTCCGGGCTTCAATCCGTCGGAAAAAGAAGCCCAAAGGTAACCTCTTGAAGTTCTCGTCAGCATGCAATACAGAATATATCTATACCTTAACTTTCTTCCAACTAGTTGCTTCCAAGCTCTGCACGCAAAAGTTTATCAATGTGTTTAACTGAAATGTCTTCAGTTGTATTGATGTCTTATGTAGTAGTTGTGGAATGTTTAAAAATAATCATGTGATGCCATTTCCCCCATAATAAAGCGGATGAATGGGAAGCAAAACAACGGGCCAGCCTGGGAGATTTGGAAGTGATCAGTGAACCCGTACCTGAGGAGGAGGAGGAGGACATGCCAGATGTTAGCGATGGGTAAGAAGCATTGGATTTTGGTTGCCAAACTGAATTTTTTGAGTATCTGAACAAGCCAGATCCTCCAGGATGTCAAATAGCCAGAAGTTAGTCAAATTACTATATATACTCAAGTATAAGCCTAGTTTTTCAGCCGCTTTTTAGGCTGAAAAAGCCCCCCTCGGCTTATATTCAAGTCAAAGTTATTTATTATTTTCTCAGTTATTATTTGATACATAACAAGATTAGTATACAGCAAAAAAAGTTCACTATGCTGGCTTTTCTGTTGGATCACACATCAGACACCAAGTGTCTAGCACTATGTGATGTATCAGTGAATAATGCATGCAGATCCGAGTAGGATGGTCTTTTGCATCTGACAGATGGTAATTTTGTCAGCACTGATTGTTTTTAAGTGCAGGCCAAGGTCTTGAGGCACTGCACCCAGTGAGCCGATCATCACTGGTTGTTGTTGTTGTTGTTACTATTATTATTATTATTATTATCTCTGTTATTATTATTATTGCATTTGTTATTTTACTCTATTGTTATTACATTTATTATTTTACTCGAATATTATTATTATTATTATTATTATTATTACATTTATTATTTTACTTTCTCTATTATTATTGGAAGGATCAATTATTACCAAAAGGGAGTGGAGTTCTACTCCTTTCTGTTCCAGGTGTCATATCAGCCAAAAACTGTGTCCTTCAGAGAGACTGCTTGTTAGAAACAGGAAACTGTTTGATCATCAGCCTTAGTCAGAAGTCGGTAGAATTTTTATTATTTATTTATTTATTTATTTCTCGCACTTCTACCTCGCCCTTCTCAACCCCCGAGGGGGGACTCAGGGCGGCTTACAAAAGGCACAATTCGATGCCAACACAAGAATAGGATAAAAATAAAACATATATAAACAGTAATTAAAACAATTAAAACAATCCATTATACATCATAATCCATAAAAACCAATCTAGTGCTCAACGTTTGCCAGATCAGAGTCCATAAATTCAATTCCACATTGTCAAATCCATCAATTCTACTCGTCGCTTGTCCTTTGTCTATCTGCCAGATTACCCAAAAGCCTGGTCCCAAATCCATGTTTTTAATTTCCTTCTAAAAGAGAGGAGGGATGTCGATGACCTAATTTCCCCGGGGAGTGAATTCCACAGGTGAGGGGCCACCACCGAGAAGGCCCTGCTCCTCGTCCCCACCAACCTCACTTGTGATAGAGGTGGGCCGAGAGCAGGGCCTCCCCAGAAGATCTTAAACTCCGAGGTGGGACGTAGAAGGAGATCCGTTCGGACAGATACGCTGGGCCGGAACCGTATAGGGTTTTGTAGGTCAAAACCAGCACTTTGAATTGTGCTCGGAACTGGATCGGCAGCCAGTGGAGCTGACACAACAGGGGGGTGGTATGCTCCCTGTATGACGCTCCGGTGAGTTTTTGGACCTTTTAATTTCAGCATTATTTTGAAGCCCTTTTGAGTCTCCTCTTTACCATTTATCTGGGAATTTCTAAATACAACTAATCATTAAAAGCAGTTCTCAAGTCCCTTCATTCCCCCCTTTTCGCAAGCAAATTGATAGAGAAGCATTGCAAAACATTGTTAATATACATATTAGGCTTTTGATTTAAAAAATGGTTCGAAACTCGTTTCAGCTGTAGTGGGTGCTGGTGGTTCGATTCTAAAGTCACTTCCTTTAAAAATAATTCCCCCCCCCCCCCGAAACTTTCCGAAACAGCTTCGTTAATGGCAGATACACATGTGCAGTAGGAAATAACAGCACTGGCACTGGGAAAACTTCAGGGGTCTTCTACTCAGGCCACTCCTGACTGAGGGGCTCTTCCACTCCAGGCCTGACTTGGCTGTCAATGCCTTGGAGGAGGAGGAGGAGGAGGAGGAGGAGGAGGAGGAGGAGGAGGAGGCAGCGACGCCCCCTCAGGTGCCAATTGGCTCCCGCTGCCGGGCTTCAGGCTGTTAGGAATAATGGGAGTGGAAATCCAAAACACCTGGAGGGGCCAAAGTTTGCCCAGGCCTGGATTAGATGCAGCCATGCCACAGTTCAATGTTATGGGATCCTGGGGTTTGTAGTATGGCACTCTTTGGCAAAGGAGGCTAAAAAACCATGCAAAACTACAGCTCCCAGGATTGTGTAGCATTGAGGTAAAGCAGTTGGAAGTGGTTCCTCGATAAGATCTGCCTGATCCACCTGGAGGGAAGGAGGGAGGAGAGGGAATGAAGGAAGAAAGGAGGGAGGGAGGAAGGAAGGAAAGAAGGAAGGAAGCCCAATCAGCCTTTAGTGCTACTGATCTATAACCTGCCTCGCTAAACTCCCAGTTGCCAAACCTTGAGATTGAGGTGAGATTGAGGGGGGGGGGGGAGGGGGGAAAACTCGGTTTGAATGCAAACTCCGGAGCTCCAGCTATTTATTTATTTATTTGTCGTGTCAGGGCAAACAGTCAATTATAGTACATTTCTAACAGAAACAAAACAAACTGACAAAATAAAAATTGTGAGTTTGGTAGTTGATTAAATGTCCTTTGACCAGTATCTGGCCACTTGGAGTGCTTCTGGTGTTGCTGCAAGAAGGTCCTCCATTGTGCATGTGGCAGGGCTCAGGTTGCATTGCAGCAGGTGGTCAGTGGTTTGCTCTTCTCCACACTCGCATGTCGAGGATTCCACTTTGTAGCCCCATTTCTGAAGATTGGCCCTGCATCTCGTGGTGCCAGAGCGCAGTCTGTTCAGTGCCTTCCAAGTCGCCCAGTCTTCTGTGTGCCCAGGGGGGAGTCTCTCATTTGGTATCAGCCATTGGTTGAGGTTCTGGGTTTGAGCCTGCCACTTTTGGACTCTCGCTTGCTGGGGTGTTCCAGCGAGTGTCTCTGTAGATCTTAGAAAACTATTTCTAGATTTAAGTCGTTGACGTGCTGGCTGATACCCAAACAGGGGATGAGCTGGAGATGTGCCTTGGTCCTTTCACTATTGGCTGCTACTTCCCGGCGCATGTCAGGTGGTGCAATACCAGCTAAGCAGTGTAATTTCTCCATGGTGTAGGGCGCAGACACCCCGTGATAATGCAGCATGTCTCATTAAGAGCCACATCCACTGTTTTAGTGTGGTGAGATGTGTTCCACACTGGGCATGCATACTCAGCAGCAGAGCACAGCGCAAGGGCAGATGTCTTCACTGTGTCTGGTTGTGATCCCCAGGTTGTGCCAGTCAGCTTTCGTATGATATTGTTTCTAGCACCCACTTTTTGCTTGATGTTCAGGCAGTGCTTCTTGTAGGTCAGAGCACGGTCCAGAGTGACTCCCAGGTATCTGGGTGCGCTGCAATGCTCCAGTGGGATTCCTTCCCAGGTAATCCTCAGAGCTCGGGATGCTTGTCTGTTCTTAAGGTGAAAGGCACATGTCTGTGTTTTAGATGGATTAGGGATCAGCTGGTTTTCCCTGTAATAGGCAGTAGAGCACCTAGAGCTTCGGAGAGCTTCTGTTCAACCATCTCAAAGCTCCCTGCTTGAGCAGTAATGGCACGATCATCAGCATAGATGAAACTCTCTGTCCCTTCTGGCAGTGGCTGGTCATTTGTGTAAATGTTGAACATGGATGGAGCAAGCATGCTCCCCTGAGGCAGGCCGTTCTTCTGTTTCCGCCATCTGCTTCTCTGGCCCTGGAACTCAACAAAAAAGCTCCTGTTTTGTAGCAGGTTTCCTATGAGGTGGGTGAGGTGGTAGTCCTTTGTGATATTATACATTTTTCTCAGGAGCTCCAGCTGGTAATGCAGAAAAGGAGGTGGAGGAGGAGCCTGCTGCTCTGCCATTTTGGCAAATGCGCAGCAAGGCAGGGTGGGAAATGTAGTTTAACAACAGGGCCTTTTGCAATCTCTACCATTGGGGGCCTTCCCTTCACAAACTACAGCAATGGCTGTGCTTAGGCATGCCCACCTCATCCCTCCTTTGCATCGCCCGGGAGGGGAAGCAAAACTTTACAAAAGTTACTTAATGCTTGTGAAAATTAAAATAACCTTGGGAGAGTTCCGAACATTATGAAATATTTATGAAAAAAAATTGATTCAAAAGACCCAATTCAATAGGTCTTAATGAATTTAATAATAATAATAATAATAATAATAATAATAATAATAATAATAATAAACCTTTATTTATACCCCGCTACCATTTCCCAAAGGACTCGGAGCGGCTTACAAGAGGCCGAGCCCAAAAACATCAGTAAAACACAACAACAACAGTACAACAATAATAATAATAAAAACCTCATAAACAAAGTAAAAACATAAACAATAACACCGCGGCACATTAAAACCTGTGGCAGGGCCAAATGTAGTACTTAAAGTCTTTAAAAATGTTGGGCATGATCAGGTGAAATAGGATAGATATTTTCGGGATAGGTGGGGCGTGCAGGCAATTCTAGATCTCTTGTAAAGTGCATTTGGGAAATATTGCTTGGAGTTTCCTTATTCTGGGAAGGCACACTTAGGTTTGCTTCGTTAAGGTTTTCACGAAGCGAACCTAACCAACCCTAATATATATATATATATATATATATATATATATATATATATATCTCATATGTGGTCCCATCACCTAGCGTGCTCCCATGTTTTGGCCTGATTCTGTTGGTGTGCAGAATCTTTAAGGGCCAACAGTTTTTACTGTTCTGTAGACTCGATGCTATGCTCTTTCTGTAGTGCAGGCTCAACTGACAATCCTACTTGAAAAATGATGTCACACCATATAAAATCTGATTGACACAAAATAAATCAGAACCAGTACTACATTCTCTTTGTGCAATGTCTGAAAGAGCTCTTAACCACGACCTGCCAGGTCCAAGGAGATGCAGAAAGCTACGCTTGTTCTTATGGATTGGAAAGCTTGTCACAGAAGAGTGATGGACTCTGTGTTTCTTTCTAGGCTCCGCAATGAGATTGCTGCTCCCCAACCCTCTGGGCCAGAAGAGACTGAAGTGAGTGGCGTTCATTAAGGCAGTGACCTTCACTAGAACATCTACTCCTCTCTGCCCTACCACACTGTATTACGTACTATATTTCAAAACTTAGGAAAGGCCTTGGAACTTTCCAGCCAGCTTGGCTTGTGGATATGCGGACTGTGGGTATCTGGGAACTTTTGTCGAAAAAGTAACTTTTCCACGCTCTGCTGCATTTTCGTTTTATTGAAAAACCAAATGTAAAATGTCAAGTGTGCTTGGATCATTGGATTGTATGTGTTTGTGTATTTATAGGACTCTAGACTAGCTGTAGCATATTTGAAACTTGAAAGCATCCTTGCCTGCCATATTTCTATTAATTTATTATTTATGTTTTTACAGTATTTATATTCCGTCCTTCTTACCCCAATGCCGCCTTATACACAGACAAGACAGACAATTATACATAGATAGAGGTACAGTAGAGTCTTGCTTATCCGACATTCCGTCTTATCAGATGCTCTTATCCGATGATTCTGTTTTCCTCCAACGTTTCCTCTTCTATTAAAGGAGAACTCTCCAACTCTCCATTCCCAATAAGTGAAAAAGGCAGGACAAGGAGGAGGAGGGAGGAGGAAAGAGGGAAAAGAGGCAGGACCAGAAGCAGAAGCGTCCTCCTGCCTTCCCTCTGTGATTTGTACGTTCCAGGCATTTTCTGCCGGGCCGCTCTAGCCCCGGGGTGTTGCCTTGCCTTTATCCTTTGAGTCCCTGTTGTTAGTATTCTAGGTGTCTAGCACCTTGTCAGATGGTAACAGTAGGAGACTCCATATTATCTGACATTTTCGTTTATCCAATGTTCTGCCCATTTATGTCGAATAAGCAAGACTCTACTGTGTGTGTGTGTGTGTATGCACACACACTAGCTGTCCCCTGCCACGCGTTGCTGTGGCCCAGTCTGTTGATCTGGAAAATAAAGTAACGATAAGCTATATGGGGTCTAATCCTGTTTTTCTTATGTGTATTCCCCCAATTATTAGTCAGGACTCAACAAGAATATGCATTACAATATAAATGCAATAAAAAGAATGAAGAATTGTATTGTCGAAGGCTTTCATGGCCGGAATCACTGGGTTGTTGTAGGTTTTTTCAGGCTATATGGCCATGTTCTAGAGGGCATTCTCTCCTGACGTTTCGCCTGCATCTATGGCAAGCATCCTCAGAGGTAGTGAGGTCTGTTGGAAGTAGGAAAAAGGGTTTATATATCTGTGGAATGACCAGGGTGGACAAAGGACTCTTGTCTGCTGGAGCTAGGTGTGAATGTTTCAACAGAGAAATCAGCCATAGCAGAGCACCTGATGAACCAGCCTGGACACAGCATATTATTTGAGAACACAGAAATGCTGGACCACACCAACAACCACTATGTCAGACTACACAGAGAAGCCATTGAAATCCACAAGCATGTGGACAATTTCAACAGAAAGGAGGAAACCATGAAAATGAACAAAATCTGGCTACCAGTATTAAAACACTCAAAATTACAACAGCAAAACAACAGAGGGGAAACAAACAGGCACATAAAATCACTCTCAACAAGAGATTCCCCCCAGGCACTTCCAGGCCGTTGAATGCAAATCAAGGTGATCAGGTGAAACATTCACACCTAGCCCCAGAAGACAGGGGTCCTTTGTTTCACCTTGGTCATTCAACAGATATATAAACCCATTTTTCCTACTTCCAACAGACCTCACTACCTCTGAGGATGTTTGCCATAGATGCAGGCGAAACGTCAGGAGAAAAATTGCCTCCAGAACGTGGCCATATAGCCCGGAAAAACCTACAACAACCCAATAATAAAATTACAAAAATTACTCCGCCTCCTCCTCCTCTGCTGCCTTGGCTCATGGCAACCTCCCGGGCAGGCTCCCCGTCCTTCCTCTTTTCTTGGCTGCCTTCCTTACTCAGGCCCAGGCCTCTCCCTTGTTCTCGTGCAGCTCAGGCCGCATTCCCTTCTCTTCCTCACCCGGGAGCGGTGGCTCAACCTTCCCCGCTGCTCCTTCCTTCTCCAGAGGCTGCCATGGAGAGCCCCAAAAGCTCCTTCCTTCACCCACCTCAAACACCACTTTGACGTCAAACTCCGGTGTCATCCCTCTCCGCCATCCGCACCACTCTCCTGAGGCAAGATGGGAAACTGAGTATGACCAGTGGTGCGACTATTAATCTGGCCCCCTCTCAAGCGCGTGGGAACTACACCTCCCGAGAAAGTGGGTTGCGGGAGAAGAGGTGCTTCTCACAATACCTGGCCAGGGAGAAGGAGAGCAGCCTGAGCAGCACAGGAAGCCCTTCTGCTCAGGCTGCTCTCCTTCCTGGCCCCACCAAGCCTCGTGAGAAGTGCCTCTTCTCAGGCCTGGTCAAACTTGGGCCCTCTGGTTGTTTTGGACTTCAACTCCCACCATTCCTAACAGCCTCAGGCCTCTTCTTTTCCCCCCTCAGCCGCTTAAGCAGAGACGCCATGGCGGCGGAGTGGGGGCAAGAAGAAGGAGAGCGGCTTGAGCAGGGGAGTAATCTTAAACGACAAATATATCCCCAACTCTCTATTTTGTTTGTCAAAGTTGGGGGGTCGTCTTATAGCCCCAGTCGTGTAGTACCCCGGAATATTCAGTATGTAATTTCTTTAAGCTTGTGGGTAAACAGTATTTCTTGCTGTTTCTTTCTCAGTGTTGATGGGGAGATTGTCTGATTTGCCCACCCTGGAACATGCAAGATATCATTGTCCTTCTTTAGGGATCCCTTTCAAATCTAGGATACTATATCTCTCTGTGAATCATATCTATCTATATCTATTCCTGGTTGGCTCTTTGTCAGGAGGGCTTTGATTACATTTTCTTGCCCTGATGAAGGGAGTTGGATTGGATGGCCTTAAGTATTTTCTGTTGGTCGTGGGGGTTCTGTGTGGGAAGTTTGTCCCAATTCTGTCATTTCTGGGGTTCAGAATGCTCTTTGATTGTAGGTGAACTGTGAATCCCAGTAACTACAACTCCCAAATGTCAAGGTCTATTTCCCCAAACTCCATCTGTGTTCATATTTGGGCGTATTGAGTGCTTATGCCAAGTTTGGTCCAGATCCATCATTGTTTGAGTCCACAGTGCTCTCTGGATGTAGGTGAACTACAACTCCCAAACTCAAGGTCAATTCTCACCAAACCCTTCCAGTATTTTCTGTTGGTCATGGGAGTTCTGCATGCCACGTTTGGTTCAATTCCATCGTTGATGGAGTTCAGAATGCTCTTTGATTGTAGGTGAACTATAAATCCCAGCAACCAGGCATGTAGCTGGGGGGGGGGGAGGGGGGCGAGGGGCTTCGCCCCCCCCCCCCCAATTCTCATGGTGGTTCGCGAGAAGGCCTTACTGGTACATTATTTAAACTGTTATGTTTATTCATATCATGATCTGATCACCATGCTCAATATATCCCATATGCATGGGGGTATTGGGGTAACGATACAAAAGGTTTGCTAGGGTAGACCCTCTTTCACTCAGACTCAGCCCCCCACCCCCTGAATCAAACTCAGCCCCCCCCCGAAACAAAATCTTGGCTACGGGCCGCCAGCAACTACAACTCCCAAATGACAAAATCATAATTTTTGAGTGATGGTCACTCCTTGTGTTGTGAGACATTTTGTTGCCAAATTTGGTGTGATTTCGTTCATTGGTTCTTTTGTTTTTAAGGTACTCATTATGCACAGAGCATTTATATATATATATATATATAGATATAGATATAGATATAGATATAGATATAGATATAGGCTTTTCCCAACTTCAGCATCGTGGATGTTTTTGTGCTCGGTTCTGGCCATGGTGGGTGCTGTCGCTCCATCTCCCTGCCGAAGAGTTTGTTTGTAACATCCTCCTTTTTAAATCGAATGGTCTGCATTCCTTATGGATGCCTCAGAATACCTCCCCGCTTTTTAAGTGGTACCTAATTTATCTACTCACATTTTGCTTTCGAACCGCTAGATAGGTGGAAGCTGGGCCTTTCAAATGACAAGATTTACTGAAGCTTGGTAATTTAACCTGCTGTGCTAAAGCCTGGCCCGCTCCTGTAAGCAGTCTAGCTGCTGATCTTTCTACCAGTTGCAGTTTTCAAGCGTTCTTCTGGGGCAGCCCCACGTAGACTGCATTACAGTAGTCTAGTCTAGATGTGACTATAGTCAATCAACTCAGGATATTGCTTTGTCTCTCCTTTCTTTTTTTAAGACTCTGCAGGATGCAATCCAGTCTCGGGAGCACTGTTGATCTGGAAAATAAAGTAACGAGAAAGTGTTGGTTTCTAATATACCGTATATTCTGGGGTACTAGACGACTTTTTAGGCATAGAAAACCTTAGAAAATTTTGGGGGTCGTCTAGTACGCCGGGTATAAAAATAAAATAATAATAAAATTGTATTGTCGAAGGCTTTCATGGCCGGGATCACTGGGTTGTTGTAGGTTTTTCCGGGCTATATGGCCATGTTCTGGCGGCAATTTTTCTCCTGACGTTTCGCCTGCATCTATGGCAAGCATCCTCAGAGGTAGTGAGGTCTGTTGGAAGTAGGAAAAATGGGTTTATATATCTGTGGAATGACCAGGGTGAGACAAGGACTCTTGTCTGTTGGAGCTAGGTGTGAATGTTTCAGCTGATCAACAGAGAAGTCAGCCATAGCAGAGCACCTGATGAACCAGCCTGGTCACAGCATATTATTTGAGAACACAGAAATGCTGGACCACTCCAACAACCACTATGTCAGACTACACAGAGAAGCCATTGAAATCCACAAGCATGTGGACAATTTCAACAGAAGGAGGAAACCATGAAAATGAACAAAATCTGGCTACCAGTATTAAAACTCTAAAATTACAACAGCAAAACAACAGAGGGGAAACAAACAGGCACATAAAATCACTCTCAACAAGAGATTCCCCCCAGGCACTTCCAGGCCGTTGAATGCAAATCAAGGTGATCAGGTGAAACATTCACACCTAGCCCCAGAAGACAGGGGTCCTTTGTTTCACCTTGGTCATTCAACAGATATATAAACCCTTTTTCCTACTTCCAACAGACCTCACTACCTCTGAGGATGCTTGCCATAGATGCAGGCGAAACGTCAGGAGAAAATGCCTCCAGAACATGGCCATATAGCCCGGAAAAACCTACAACAACCCAATAATAAAATTACAAAAATTACTCCGCCTCCTCCTCCTCTGCTGCCTTGGCTCATGGCAACCTCCCGGGCAGGCTCCCCGTCCTTCCTCTTTTCTTGGCTGCCTTCCTTACTCAGGCCCAGGCCTCTCCCTTGTTCTCGTGCAGCTCAGGCCGCATTCCCTTCTCTTCCTCACCCGGGAGCGGTGGCTCAACCTTCCCCGCTGCTCCTTCCTTCTCCAGAGGCTGCCATGGAGAGCCCCAAAAGCTCCTTCCTTCACCCACCTCAAACACCACTTTGACGTCAAACTCCGGTGTCATCCCTCTCCGCCATCCGCACCACTCTCCTGAGGCAAGATGGGAAACTGAGTATGACCAGTGGTGCGACTATTAATCTGGCCCCCTCTCAAGCGCGTGGGAACTACACCTCCCGAGAAAGTGGGTTGCGGGAGAAGAGGTGCTTCTCACAATACCTGGCCAGGGAGAAGGAGAGCAGCCTGAGCAGCACAGGAAGCCCTTCTGCTCAGGCTGCTCTCCTTCCTGGCCCCACCAAGCCTCGTGAGAAGTGCCTCTTCTCAGGCCTGGTCAAACTTGGGCCCTCTGGTTGTTTTGGACTTCAACTCCCACCATTCCTAACAGCCTCAGGCCTCTTCCTTTCCCCCCTCAGCCGCTTAAGCAGAGACGCCATGGCGGCGGAGTGGGGGCAAGAAGAAGGAGAGCGGCTTGAGCAGGGGAGTAATCTTAAACGACAAATATATCCCCAACTCTCTATTTTGTTTGTCAAAGTTGGGGGGTCGTCTTATAGCCCCAGTCGTGTAGTACCCCGGAATATTCAGTATGTAATTTCTTTAAGCTTGTGGGTAAACAGTATTTCTTGCTGTTTCTTTCTCAGTGTTGATGGGGAGATTGTCTGATTTGCCCACCCTGGAACATGCAAGATATCATTGTCCTTCTTTAGGGATCCCTTTCAAATCTAGGATACTATATCTCTCTGTGAATCATATCTATCTATATCTATTCCTGGTTGGCTCTTTGTCAGGAGGGCTTTGATTACATTTTCTTGCCCTGATGAAGGGAGTTGGATTGGATGGCCTTAAGTATTTTCTGTTGGTCATGGGGTTCTGTGTGGGAAGTTTGCCCCAATTCTGTTGTTCGTGGGGTTCAGAATGCTCTTTGATTGTAGGTGAACTGTGAATCCCAGTGACTACAACTCCCAAATGTCAAGGTCTATTTCCCCCAAACTCCCATCTGTGTTCATATTTGGGCGTATTGAGTGCTTGTGCCAAGTTTGGTCCAGATCCATCATTGTTTGAGTCCACAGTGCTCTCTGGATGTAGGTGAACTACAACTCCCAAACTCAAGGTCAATTCTCACCAAACCCTTCCAGTATTTTCTGTTGGTCATGGGAGTTCTGCATGCCACGTTTGGTTCAATTCCATCGTTGATGGAGTTCAGAATGCTCTTTGATTGTAGGTGAACTATAAATCCCAGCAACCACAACTCCCGGGGGGGGGGTTGGGGGGCTTCAGCCCCCCCCAAATTCTCATGGTGGTCCGCGAGAAGGCCTTACTGGTACATTTTTTAAACTGTTATGTTTATTCATATCATGATCTGATCACCATGCTCAATATATCCCATATGCATGGGGGTATTGGGTAACGATACAAAAGGTTTGCTAGGTAGACCTCTTTCACTCACTCAGCCCCCCCCCCGAACAACTCAGCGTTCGGAATGCTCTTTGATTGTAGGTGAACTATAAATCCCAGAAACAACTCCCAAATGACAAAATCATAATTTTTTGAGTGATGGTCACTCCTTGTGTTGTGAGACATTTTGTTGCCAAATTTGGTGTGATTTCGTTCATTGGTTCTTTTGTTTTTAAGGTACTCATTATGCACAGAGCATTTTTATATATATAGATATAGATATAGATATAGATATAGGCTTTTCCCAACTTCAGCATCGTGGATGTTTTTGTGCTCGGTTCTGGCCATGGTGGGTGCTGTCGCTCCATCTCCCTGCCGAAGAGTTTGTTTGTAACATCCTCCTTTTTAAATCGAATGGTCTGCATTCCTTATGGATGCCTCAGAATACCTCCCCGCTTTTTAAGTGGTACCTAATTTATCTACTCACATTTTGCTTTCGAACCGCTAGATAGGTGGAAGCTGGGCCTTTCAAATGACAAGATTTACTGAAGCTTGGTAATTTAACCTGCTGTGCTAAAGCCTGGCCCGCTCCTGTAAGCAGTCTAGCTGCTGATCTTTCTACCAGTTGCAGTTTTCAAGCGTTCTTCTGGGGCAGCCCCACGTAGACTGCATTACAGTAGTCTAGTCTAGATGTGACTATAGTCAATCAACTCAGGATATTGCTTTGTCTCTCCTTTCTTTTTTTAAGACTCTGCAGGATGCAATCCAGTCTCGGGAGGAAGTGGTTGAGACCAAGCCAGGTAAACAAACAAACAAAGTAGAAGTGGTGGTGGTGGTGGTGGTGGGAAGTCTAGGATGTGGAGTATAAACTAGACATGACATTGAATGTGCCACTAAATAGCCATGGGGTTGGAGGCAGGACTACACTGAGTAGAGAAGGATGCTTTAACCCAGAGAGATCACTCATCGTACTCAGTATATAATTGAACTGTAATGCACATTATTCCTCAGCATTGGCCCTGCTGTCCACAGCAAATGAGAAATTCATTCCAGCAATTTCTGGGATGGGTCAGAGATTCCGTATCCCTGTTTAGCTCTTCACCTTTCTGCCAAAAATTAACAGTTAACAAAAGAAAAGGTTAAACTATCTCCTCAAAAGTCATAGTAAAGGTAAAGGTTCCCCTTGACATTAAGGGGGTGGTGCTTATCTCAATTTCTATGCCGAAGAGCCAGCGTTGTCCGTAGACACCTCCAAGGTCATGTGGCTGGCATAACTGCATGGAGCACCACTACCTTCCCGCCAGAGCAATACCAATTGATCTACACACATTTGCATGTTTTCAAACTGCTAGGTTGGCAGAAGCTGGGGCTTACATTCGAAACTCATGTCACTCCCCAGATTTGAATTGTAAACTTTTGGTCAGCAAATTCAGCAGCTCAGAGGTTTAACCTGCTGCGCCATGGTCCTCAGCAATTTCTTCATTCCTACTCCCTCACTGTAACAAGTTATACTTAAATTATTATTATTATTGGTATTATTATTATATTTATTTATACCCCGCTTTATATCTTCTGCAGGAGACTCAAAGCGGCTTAACATAAAAGCATAAATATGCAATTTATGCTGGTAGCCTTCCCCACCTTGTATCTTCCTGGTTTAGACTTCATTTCCCCATCCCCAGAGAGCACCAATTTGTGGAAGTCTATATTTTGTTTATATTATCATGGAATTATAGAATAATAGAGTTGGAAGAGACCTCGTGGCTCATCCCTTCCCAACCCCTTTTGCCATGCAGGAATAGCACAATCAAAGCACCCTTGATAGATGGCCACCCAGCCTCTGCTTAAAAGCCTCCAAGGAAGGAGTTTCCACCGGACTCTGAGGCAGAGAGTTCCACTGTTGAACAACTCTCATGGTCAGGAAGTTTTTCGTAATGTGCATGTTTAGCTCAGAAACGCCACAGGGAAAGTGGATTGTTTGTTTTCTTCCTGCACTGGTTATGGATTATATCTACACACCCAGTGTGTATCTTTTCAGCATGGGCCTCTTTGCACTTAAGGCCATAGCACTAGGCAGTCTGCCCTTTCCACTAAAGAAGTAGTAACTCTTGGTATTTACTTAAGGATGATACCACCTTTTACAACAGTAATTGAGCTTGCAGTAACTCAAGGTGCCTGACTCTTACACATATTTCCATGGAAAGGCGTGCTAGGATATTGACAGATAGTGCATGAAGATAAACTGGAATGAGATCTTCTGAATAGCAGAAACAGTACTGTGAGTGCATTTACTTATTTGCTAAAGAAGGAGTAGAAGACTCATCTTCCATTTGCATATATGTATTTGCATATAAGTATTTGCATATATAGGTGCACAATTAGATATATTGGGGATGGAACCCAAATCTAAACGTGGCATTCATTGATGCGTCATATCAACCTTATGCACACTTTTTTTTTAAATAATTTTGAACATGAAACAAAGCTGGTGTACACTGAACATCAGAAAGTCATTATCTCAGCCACCCATGTGGATGGTTTTGGAAAGTGTGTCTAAGGACATTTTGTGCACACTTTGCACAAAATGTCCTTAGACGCACTTTACTTTATGGGTTGTGCAATGAAATCTTTCCTCATTCCTGGAGCCTCCTCCTTATAAGTTACTCTGTGCTATCTCCCAGTGTTTTTAATATTTTCTATAATTTTATCCATGCATCTAGTGAAATTTCCTGTGCTTTTAATGCTTGATTTTATATTGTTGTGTTGTATATTATTTCGTTTTTGCATTTTATGAATTTTGCTTGTTTTATTGTGTTTGTGTTATAGCTTGTATTGTATTGATGGGCATGGCCTCATGTAAGTCGCACCGCGTCCCCCTGGGGGAGATGGAGCAGGGTATAAATAAAACTTTATTATTGTATTGTCGAAGGCTTTCATGGCCGGAATCACTGGGTTGTAGGTTTTTTCGGGCTATATGGCCATGTTCTAGAGGCATTTCTCCTGACGTTTCGCCTGCATCTATGGCAAGCATCCTCAGAGGTAGTGAGGTCTGTTGGAACTAGGAAAAAGGGTTTCTATATCTGTGGAATGACCAGGGTGGGACAAAGGACTCTTGTCTGCTGGAGCTAGGTGTGAATGTTTCAACTGACCACCTTGATTAGCATTTGATGGCCTGGCAGTGCCTGGAGCAATCTTTTGTTGAGAGGTGATTAGATGTCCTTGTTTGTTTCCTCTCTGTTGTTGTCCTGTTGTAATTTTAGAGTTTTTTAATACTAGTAGCCAGATTTTGTTTCTCCTTTCTGTTGAAATTGTCCACATGCTTGTGGATTTCAATGGCTTCTCTGTGTAGTCTGAACAAGATCTGGCTCTCAGTATTAAAAAACTCTAAAATTAGAACAGCATAACAACAGAGAGGAAACAAACAAGGACATCTAATCACCTCTCAACAAAAGATTGCTCCAGGCACTGCCAGGCAATCAAATGCTAATCAAGGTGGTCAGTTGAAACATTCACACCTAGCTCCAGCAGACAAGAGTCCTTTGTCTCACCCTGGTCATTCCACAGATATATAAACCCTTTTTCCTAGTTCCAACAGACCTCACTACCTCTGAGGATGCTTGCCATAGATGCAGGCGAAACGTCAGGAGAAATGCCTTTAGAACATGGCCATATAGCCCGAAAAAACCTACAACAACCCATTTATTATTATTATTTATTATTATTATATTATCCAGAATGTGTTGTCAAAGGTTCTCATGGCCAGAACCACTGGGTTGCTGTGAGTTTTTAGGGCTGTATGGCCATGTTTGAGAAGCATTCTCTCCTGACGTTTCGCCTGTATCTATGGCAGGCATCCTCAAAGATTGTGAGGTTTGTTGGAAACTAGGAAAATGGGCTTTAGAAATCTGTGGGATGTCCAGGGTGGGGGAAAGAACTCATGTCCGCTTGAGGTACGTGTGAATGTTGCAACTGATCACCTTGATTACCATTTAATAGCCTGGTCCATTTTTATTTTTCCCTCCAGAAGAAAGTGATTCGTTTAGTAGCCTGAGTTCGGAGGAGGAGAAACCGCCAATGGAGAACATACCAGCCATCATAGTCACAGCACAGGTATGAAGGTGGAGAGCAGAGCTAGGCTTCTTAAGATCAGCCACTCTCTTGTACGAACCTATACAATCCCTTTGATCTTCCGGAGAGGCCCTTCTCTCGCTCCCACCCCCTCGCAAGTGCGACTTGTGGGGACGAGGGAGAGGGCCTTCTCTGTGGTGGCCCCTCGGCTCTGGAATTCTCTCCCGAGAGAAATTAGGCAAGCCCCCACCCTGGCAGTTTTCAGGAAGAGCCTGAAAACTTGGCTGCTCCAGTGTGCCTTTAATGAATGAATGAACAATAATCCCCTGTCCTGACCAATCCCTGCATAAATGCTATCAAACCCTACTTCATCCCTCAAACCCACCTGTCCAGATACATTATATTGCCTTCTCACCCAGTGTTTTGAACGTTTAATCCTTGCAATCGGCCCTGCCCACTAGGTTATTAATTCTTAGTGTTCTAATATTGTGATTTATATGGTCTGATGTGTTTATTTGTAAATTTTTTTGTATCTTATTTTAATTTATTTTATACTAGCCGTCCCCTGCCACGCATTGCTGTGGCCCAGTCTGGTGATCTGGAAAATAAAATAATGAGAAAGTTTTGGTTTCTAATATATGTAATTTTTTATGCTTGTGGGTAAACAGTATTTCTTGTTGTTTGGCCCAATTTTGTCGTTTGTAGGGTTCAGAATGCTCTTTGATTGTAGGTGAACTATAAATCCCAGTAACTACAACTCCCAAATGTCAAGATTCTATTTTCCCCAAACTCCATCAGTGTTCACATTTGGGCATATTGAGTATTCGTGTAGAGTTTGATCCAGATCCATTATTGTTTGAGTCCACAGTGATCTCTGGATGTAGGTGAACTACATCTCCAAAACTCAAGGTCAATTCCCACCAAACCCTTCCAGTATTTACTGCTGGTTCTGGGAGTCCTGTGTGCCAAGTTTGGTTCAATTCCATCGTTGGTGGGGTTCAGAGTGCTCTTTGATTGTAGGTGAACTGTAAATCCCAACAACTACAACTCCCAAATGACAAAATCCATTTTTTTTGAGTGAAGGACATACATTGGGTTGTTAGGTGTCTTGTGTCCAAATTTGGTGTCAATTCGTCCAATGGTTTTTGAGTTCTGTTAATTCCACAAACAAACATTACATTTTTATTTATATAGACTAGCTGTACCCGCCACACTTTGCTGTGGCCAACCTTCCCTCCCTCTTTGTCTCTTTGTCTCCTTTCTTTGGGGGGAGATATAGTGCATGCACACACACACGCATACACATATGGGTGTGGATAATATGGCAATGTCTATGTTGAAAGGAAGTTGTGGAAAACACCTACATGGATGTTAGTTTTACTATATTTCCTCAACTCTCCCCTCAAATACACACAGTCACGTGGGAAATAAGTGGCTCTGCTGGAGTGCATGTCTTGAGGGGTTATTGTGGGGATGATCTTGCATGTGCATTAATTCCACTATATTTTCACAACTCCACACACCCATACGCACTCACTGTTGCTCTGCCAACATGTTTATGTTGCCAAGTTGTAAAAGATAGATAGATAGAATGATTTTCAATTCATATAGCAGTTCAAAAACATGCAAATGTGAGTAGAGCAATAGGTACCACTCTGGCAGGAAGGTAAGGGCGCTCCATGCAGTCATGCCAGTGGCCACATGACTTTGGAGGTGTCTATGGACAATGCCGTCTCTCTTTCTCTCTCTCTACCTCTCTGTACCTCTCTCTCTCTCTCTCTACCTCTCTCTCTTTCTCTCTACCTCTCTCTCTCTACCTCTCTCTCTCTACCTCTCTCTCTACCTCTCTCTCTCTCTACCTCTCTCTCGCTCCCTCTCTCTCCCTCTCTCTACCTCTCTCTCTCTACCTCTCTCTACCTCTCTACCCTCCGGGCTGTGCAAGGCGCGCTCTCCCCTCTTTCCCATGCTTCCTTCTTTCTTTCCTCCCTTCTTCCTTTCTCTCTTTCCTCCGTTGCCACAGCATGCAAGGAGGAAGGTGAAGAGGAAGGGGTCATGGCGCCATGGAGATCGCCTGGGAAGTTCAAGGGGAAGGAGCGAGGGAGAGAAGGAAAGAGGCAGGAGAAGGAGGAATGAGAAGGAGAGGAAGCTGCCCGAAGGGAGAAAGGAGGAGGGCTTGCAAGCCTTGCGGGGAGATTTCTTCCCCCCTCTCTCTCACTCACACAGAACTGTCAGGGCGAAATGCCTCATTTTTGCCTACTTGCCTCACCTTTAAAGGAAAAAGCAAAGGGCAAGGGGAAGGCGAAGTTGTGTGTATGTGTGTGGCCATGTGTGCGGGATAGGCTCCTGAGTTTGCTGCGGTGAGGGAGGAAGCTCGGTGCTGCCTGCTGTGCCAGTTCTGTTTATATGGCCGTGCATGCGCACACATTTGGCTCTCAATGCTGTAACGGCAGCTCTTCCCTTGTGTGGATTTTTGGGGTTTCTGCTGTTTCTTTGGGGGGTTTTTTTGAGTGAAGGACATACATTGGGTTGTTAGGTGTATCGTGTCCAAATTTGGTGTCAATTCCCCCAGTGGTTTTCGAGTTCTGTGAATAGCACAAACGAGCATTACATTTTTATTTATATAGATTACCATCTGGCAAATGGTACAGGGTGACAAAGACAAGGACAAATAGACTAAGAAATAGCTTTTATCCTAGAGCTGTAACTATATTGAACTCCATTGTTTCGCATTGATGTGGCATTGGGGGCTGGGAGTGTGGAGGGATTGGGTTGTTGTTTTGCGATGTATGTATATATACATACATATACAATGTATACAATATACAATGACAGTAAAGTTTTTCTATTCTATTCTGTGCAAAAATTGGTAAAATAAAGCCCTCTCTTCCCATTTTTTAAAAATCCGCAGAGTAATGGAAGTCTTGGAAATGGCCAGGACATTGTGCTGAATTCATCATCTCCCAAGAACCGGGCTGCAACCCGACAGAATAAATTACAGAGCACCAGCTCCTCCTTTTCTAGCCTGAGCTCATCTACGGTATGTGATGATGGGGTGTGCATAGGAGCACAATGCTGCCTCTCAGTGTCCAGGACACCCTTTGATACAACTCTCCTCAACATAATGCCCTTTAGATGTTTCAGGCTTCAGCGACCATAGTGTCACAGGCAGAAAGACCAATTGCCTGGAATCTTGGGATTTATAGTTCAAGACACTAGAATGGTATCAAGTTTGAAATCATTGCTAGAGTGATGTATTAAGGCAGTGGTTCTCAACCTTTGGTCCTCCAGCTGTTTTGGACTTTCAGCTCTTACAATTCCTAACACCTGGTAAGCTGGCTGGGATTTCTGGGAGTTGAAGTCCATGTTTTATGTTAAACCACTTTGAGTTTGCTTTGGGGGAGATAAAGTGGAGTATAAATAAATTTAATAATAATATATTTTTAAAAAATCGCACAAATGGACTACAAACAGAGGCACAACTCTGTGGCCCAAATGATTAATTGGAACTTGCGGCACAAGTACCACCTGCCAGTAGTAAAGAAGTGGTGGGATCATAAACCTGCAAAGGTAGTAGAAAATGAACACGCAAAAATACTGTGGGACTTTCGAATCCAGACTGACCAAGTTTTGGAACACATTACACCAGACATCACAATTGTGGAAAAGAAAAAAGTCTGGATTATTGATGTCGCCATTCCAGGTGATAGTCGCATTGAGGAAAAACAACAGGAAAAACTCAGCCGTGATCAGGACCTCAAAATCAAACTGCAAAGGCTCTGGCATAAACATGTCCAGGTGGTCCCAGTGGTCATCGGCACACTGGGTGCCGTGCCAAAAGATCTCAGCCGGCATTTGGAAACAATAAACATTGACAAAATCACAATCTGTGAACTACAAAAGGCCACCTTACTTGGATCTGCGCGCATCATAATAATAATAAATAATAATAACACTTTATTTGTACCCCGCTACCATCTCCCCAAGGGACTCGGTGCAGCTTATATGAGGCCGAGCCCAAATACAACAATACAAGCAATAATAAGAACAATACAAGCAATTAAAATTAAAACATAGACAATAAGATATGCAACATTAACAATAAGACAACACACAATTAAAACTGTGGGAAATGTAAAATTAAAATTGATAGTAAATACATCGTACAGTCCTAGACGCTTGGGAAGCATTTGACTTGTGATTTTGTGATACGAAATCCAGCATATAGATCTCGTTTGCTGTGACATACTGTGCTTTTGTGTCAGTAAAATAATAATAATAATAATAATAATAATAATAATTATTATTATTATTATTATTAATGGTTACCACTGCATTAAGGGAAGGATGACCATTCCTTGATATCTCTTTTTCTTCTTACTTGCTCTTTTTCTCAATGTGTAGCTCATTGTTCTGGACTTAATATTTCTCAAAATTGAGAAGTAAGGACTTTATCACTTTAGGAAATTCTCAGTTTTTGAGAATGATGTTGAACGGGTCACATCACAGGACGCTTGCCCCATCCTGTCAGTATTCTGTCAGAATCCGTCTGCAAAGCTTCACAGAAATGGATTATTTGCAGATGGAATTCTAATTGTGTTTTTTGAAATACGACAGATTCTTCCGTTCCTGAAGCGCTCTTTGTGTGTGATAGGAAAATCTGTATGCATTCCATCAGCAACAGTAGGTCATAGAGTGATGTGGGATGGGCTGTGGTGGCGCAGCGGGTTAAACTGCTAAGCTGCACAACTTGCTAAACGGAATGTCGGCGGTTCAAATCCCCAGGACGGGATGGGCTTTTCACTTAATGGGAATGGAGAAAGAGTTGGGGAGTGTCCCTTTATTTATTTATTTACTTACAGCATTTATATTCCGCCCTTCTCACTCCGCAGGGGACTCAGGGCGGATTACAAAGTACATATACATGGCAAACATTCAATACCATAGACATCCAACATATATAGACAGATACTCAGAGGCTATTTAACATTCCAGCTTCTGGCTACCAGGGGAGCTGTCGCTTCACCGTCCATTTGTGACACTGATGAAGTACTTTCCTCATTCTTTGCATACTTCCTGGAGATTTTGATGGCCTCGTAAATCAGTTAAATTAGCCTCCCCGTGTAAGTAATACCTAATTTTCTTACTTGACAGATGCAACTGTCTTTCGGGCTGCAAAGGTCGACAACAAGCTAAATTAACTAATTTATGAGGCCATAAAAAAAGACTCCAACAAAGTACTCCAGCAAAAAAGCATGTGGGGAATGCGGAAGTACTTCATTGTGGAGAGGCCCTGCTCTCGGTCCCACCGGCCTCGCAAGCGCGCCTGGTGGGGACGAGGGACAGGGCCTTCTCGGTGGTGGCCCCGGGACTCTGGAACTCTCTCCCACTGGAGGCCAGAACCGCCCCATCCATCCTAACATTTAGGAAACGGGTGAAGACATGGCTGTGGAGTCAGGCCTTCGATGAATGAGACAACACCCTAGGACTCTGGATGGAAGATGATGTAGATCTGGTTTTAATATGACGACTGACCACTATAGTTTTACACATAGTGTTATTTTAAAGCTGTTTTTGTAATTGTGATAGATGATATTTTAACGAGTGTATATGTTTTTATGGTTGGAAACCGGGCTGAGTCCCTCAATGAGGTCGAGAAGCTCGGTATAGAAATCTTTGAAATAAAATAAATAAATAAAATAAATTAGTGTCGCAGATGGACGATGAAAGTGACAGCTCCCCTGGCGGCCAGAAAAAGTTAAATAGCCTCTGTGTATGTCTGTATATGTTGTATGTTAAAATTGGCATTGAATGTTTGCCATATATGTGTACACTGTAATCCACCCTGAGTCCCCTGCGGGATGAGAAGGGCGGAATATAAATGCTGTAAATAAATAAAAACACAATTTTGGTCGGGAGGTCGCTCCGACCTGGCCTGGCTTCGAACTCACGACCTTTCGGTCAGTAGTGATCTTAATGCAGCTGACTCCCAGCCAGCTGTGCCACAGCATTTCCTCTTTAATCAAAGGGGAAATGCTTTAGGAAAGGGGGGGGGAGCATCAAATAAGAGTGTTGGATAAGACGGAATGTCGGATAAGTGAAGGTTGGATAAGCGAGACTCTACTGTATATGCATAATAAGAGATCTAGATTGTGGTTGTAACACCAATTTCATTTATGTTTCATTTCCACATTGTAAACAGAGCCTGGAGGTAATTTTATTGGCGAACACTTTTTAATCATTATGCTCATGAAACCAAGCTTGTGTACACCGAGCATCAGAAAGCAAAGGTTTCACTATTTCAGCCTCCCTTATGGAAAATTTTGGATTATGGAATGTTTTGGAATTCTACTAGCATCTCCAGTCTGCATCATGGCCCATGAGACTTAGATGAGCTGCTGCTCTCTGGCTGCTCAAGTCAGGATTGCATTTTGACATACACTACCGTCTTCGCTGCAAAGACCCACATTTTACAAAACAAATACAGCAACAAAAGAAAAAGAAATGGAAGAGAAAATTATGAGTGCATTTGGGAAAAGTATGCCACATACCTGTCCTCTCCTCCCTTTGTTTGTTTTGAAAGGGTTGTTATAGAGGTTGGCTTCACCACATCCTCTCCCTCCCCCCCCCCCCTTTCCTTATGGGGCTTTTACTTGCATTGTTCCCTTCTGTATTTGGATACTGTGTGTAGTATTTTGAACGTTTTCTCTCCTTTATGTCAGATGAGTGGCAGCACAATGAGTGTTTTCAGTGACAATGATATTGGGAATGTGGAAGTCCGAGGCTGCATCCAGTTCTCTCTGCAGTATGACTCCCTAAAGAGGGAACTACATGTTCAAGTGATCCAGTGTCGGGATCTTGCTGAGGCCAAGAAGCAGCGGTCAGATCCGTAAGTCTGGGGTTGGAGCTTGCTGCTCACCACCATCAGCTTAGGTTCACTGTCACTCTCATAGATCTATATAATGTAGTGGTTTTAGTTTTGGGTTGGAGCTCATGGTGGCGGCAGGACTGAAGACCCACAGGTCGAAGGTTCGAATCCGGGGAGAGCACGGATGAGCTCCCTCTGTCATCTCCAGCTCCCCATGTGGGGACATGAGAGAAGCCTCCCACAAGGATGGTAAAACATCAAACATCTGGGCATCCCCTGGGCAACGTCATAGAATCATAGAATCAAAGAGTTGGAAGAGACCTCATGGGCCATCCAGTCCAACCCCCTGTCAAGAAGCAGGAATATTGCATTCAAAGCACCCCTGACAGATGGCCATCCAGCCTCTGTTTAAAAGCTTCCAAAGAAGGAGCCTCCACCACACTCCGGGGCAGAGAGTTCCACTGCTGAACGGCTCTCACAGTCAGGAAGTTCTTCCTCATATTCAGATGGAATCTCCTTTCCTGTAGTTTAAAGCCATTGTTCCGCGTCCTATTCTCCAGGAAAGCAGAAAACAAGCTTGCTCGCTCCTCCCTGTGGCTTCCTTTCACATATGTATACATGGCTATCATATCTCCTCTCAGCCTTCTCTTCTTCAGGCTAAACATGCCCATCTCCTTAAGCCGCTCCTCATAGGGCTTGTTCTCCAGACCCTTGATCATTTTAGTCGCCCTCCTCTGGACACATTCCAGCTTGTCAATATCTCTCTTGAATTGTGGTGCCCAGGATTGGACACAATATTCCAGGTGTGGTCTAACCAAAGCAGAATAGAGGGGTAGCATTACTTCCCTAGATCTAGACACTATGCTCCTATTGATGCAGGCCAAAGTCCCATTGGCTTTTTTGCCGCCACATCACATTGTTGGCTCATGTTTAACTTGTTGTCCACGAGGACTCCAAGATCTTTCACGCGTACTTCTCTCGAGCCAGGCATTGCAGATGGCCAATTCTCTCACACCAGAAGCAACTTGCACTTTACATTACATTACATTGCAGTTACATTAGATTACATGGCAGTGTAGAAGGGGCCTGAGAAAAACAGAAATGAGGATTGCAAAGGAAAGACAATATAACAATATAAGAAGAAATTATAAGTATGAGGCTTAGGATCTCAACGCTGAAAAGCTGCAAGCAGGCAGCACAGAGATTTAGAGGCATGGCTGGATTTTGGAGATAGATGATAAGGCACGTGAAATAAATATGTGAGGAAGCCACAGGGAGGAGGGAGCAAGCTTGTTTTCTGCTTTCCTGGAGACTAGGACGCGAAACAATGGCTTCAAACTACAAGAAAGGAGATTCCATGAGGAAGAACTTCCTGACTGTGAGAGCCGTTCAGCAGTGGAACTCTCTGCCCCGGAGTGTGGTGGAGGTTCCTTCTTTGGAAGCTTTTAAACAGAGGCTGGATGGCCATCTGTCAGGGGTGATTTGAATGCAATATTCCTGCTTCTTGGCAGGGGGTTGGACTGCATGGCCCATGAGGTCTCTTCCAACTCTAGGATTCTATGATTCTATGAAATACATGAGCCAACATGGTACTTGGTCTTCACTTTCCAGGTGCATCCTCTGTAATGTAACCTTTTTTGATCTTTTGTAATTTTATTCTCTTACCTTTTGGTCTTTCTCTCACTCTTTCTATTCTTTGTGGTTTTTCTTCTTTGCCCGTTTCCTGATCTGTAGTTTTCTAGAAAAGAAATTACCTCACAGACAGACTGGAAGGGCTTTATTTCTCAAAGCATACAGTACGGTTACAAGCAAAGTTCCATCTGACAGTTGCTTTCTTTCTCACCTCATATCCCTCACTATGGCCCTTCCCTTCACAGCCCTGTTTCCATGGAAACCCTCTCCCTTGCTTCGAGTGAGCTACAGGCCAAGGCATGGCTTACTTTCATGGTTCCCCACAACACCAGAAAAGGAGATCATGATAGCTCATCAAAAAGTGACAGTTAACTTTAGGGCCAGACAGATCCTGACCCTCAGCTGAATTTCTGAACAACACAATGATTGTGCTCTTTGTCTTTTTCGGTGAACTGTCATCTCCCTTTTGCTCCTAGCTATGTCAAAACCTACCTCCTTCCTGACAAATCCAACCACAGCAAGAGGAAAACAGCAGTCAAAAAGAGAACTCTTGACCCCATCTTCAATGAGACCCTTAAGGTGAGGAGAGAGATGCCTCTTTGGCCACAGTTCATGTTCATTTATTTATTATTTATTTTATTTACAGTACTTATATTCCACCTTTCTCACCCTGAAGAGGACTCGGGGCAGATCACAGAACACATATATGGCAAACATTCAATGCTGATTATACAATGACAAGACAGACAACAGATAGAGGTATATATAGGCTTTTTCTCATCATTTGGCATATTTGGAGGCTGTGCTCGGTTCTGGCCACATGGGGGTGCTGTTGCTCCATCTCCTTGATGAAGAGCTTTCTTTGTTCATAAACTTTACTCTGAATGCAATGCCTAAAATACCGCTCTGTTGAATGTGGTTCCAATTCATCTACTCACATTTCTGTTTTCAATATGCTAAGTGGGTGTGGAGCTGGATTGAGGGTCAGGAGCTCACCCTGATCCGGCTTCTAACTGTCAACCTTTCGGCTGGCAAGATTTATTGCAGCTGGAGCTGGTGATTAACCTGCTGTGCTAAAGCTGGCGTGAAAGTGTTCATGTTTTCAGAAGGATATACCAGAGATGACCAGCACATGTCCTAGAGTCAAAGTTGGCACAAACTGATGAAAATTGGAGTCTGCAACATTTCCAGGATCCTGATCCATTCAGGTCCCAAGTCAACCAGTTTCAAGGATCTGTGAGACTGAAATGCAGTCAGAAGCGCATTTTTTAAAAATTTAGTTACTATATTTATATACTGCCCCTCTCAGCCCAGAGGCTGATTTTTAAAAATATTATGATGCATGGATGTTTAACCCATTGAGGGTGGCGCAGTGGGTTAAACCCTTGTGCTGCTGAATCTGCTGACCTGAAGGTTGGCAGTTCGAAGCCACAGGTCGGGGTGAGCTCCCGCTGTTAGCCCTAGCTCCTGCCAACCTAGCAGTTCGGAAACATGCAAATGTGAGTTGATCAATAGGTACTGCTTCGGCAGGAAGGTAATAAAGGCACCCATGCAACCATGCCAGCAACATGGCCATAGAGGTGTCTATGGACAACAAACTCCTCGACTTGGAAATGGAAAAAGAGCACCTCTCCATGACCAGAGTGAGCAACACCTCCAGAAGCTGGAGATGGAAGGGGAAGCCTTTGCCTTTGTTCTGTGTATGTGTATGTCATTGTTATTTGTTGAGATTAACTTCACAGTTCAGCAGCAGATCAGTTGCACAACTTCAGCACTTCCCAGTGGTTTCTTCCTGCACAGTATTTTCAGTCAACTGCTCCCATAGCCTGCAGTCACTCTGGAACCTTTTACATACACTTGAGCACATGCCCGGCCATTGTCAGTTTTACCATTGTCTTTCCCCCAGTCTAGATGACATTACAAACTTACCACAGCATACAGTTATATCTTGTCTAAGCAGACAGGTTCTTTTAATTACATATAGCCTTTGACGAACAACATCACAGCACAAGGAGAGATATACACTGTACATGACTTCCTTATATACAATTCTATACAATTACACATAGCAATCTCTGATTGGTTCCCAACTCATTGACTCAACCCAAACCCAGGATTGCATCATTCACAATCACCTGGACTAGGCCAGAACACATTCCCCAAATGAAGTTCTATATACAGTTCTATTTCCAATAGAAGCCCATTAGCAGTGCATGACTCAGCTATATTACATTACAATACATTGTAAAACCTGACATTATTTCACTGTATTTAAGGAATTGAATGTTTGCCTATCTGTGTATTTTGTCATCTGCTCTGAGTCCCCTCTGGGAGATAAAGCAAAATATAAATGAAGTGTTATTATTTATTTATTGTGTCATATGCGAGTTGGGGTATGGTTAAAATGCATTTAAAATCACAAACAAAGTTTTAAAAAAACTTATGCTCAATGTCCTTTGACCAGAAACTGGCTACTTGGAGTGTCTTTGGTGTCACTGCGAGAAGGTCCTTCATTGTGCAAGTAGCCCCATTTCTTAAGGTTAGCTCTGCATCTCGAGGTGCCAGAGCGCAGCTTGTTCAACACCTTCCAGGTCGCTCACTCTTCTGTGTACCCAGGAGGGAGTTTCTCATCCGGTCTCGGCCATTGATTGAGGTGCTGGGTTTTAGCCTGCCACTTTTGGACTCTCATTTGCTGAGATATTCCTGCGAGTATCTCTGTAGATCTTAGGAAATCTCTGTAGATCTTAGGCTTGCTGGCTGATACCCAAACAGGGGGTAGGCCAGAGATGTCAATGCTTTGGTTCTTTCATTGCTGGCTACTACTTACCGGCGGATGTCAGGTGGTGCAATACCAGCGAAACAGTATAATTTCTCCAGTGGTGTGGGGCGTAGACATCCTGTGATAATGCGGCATGTCTCATTAAGAGCCACATCCACTGTTTTAACATGGTGAGATGTGTTCCATACTAGGTATGCATATTCAGCAGCAGAATGTCAAAGCGCAAGAGCAGATGTCTTCACTGTGTCTAGTTGTGATCCCCAGGTTGTATGCTAGACAGCTTTCGTACGATATTGCTTGATATTCAAGCAGTGCTTATTATAAGTCTGAGCATGGTCCAGAGTAGTAGTAGTTATTATTATTATTATTATTATTATTATTATTATTATTATTATTATTATTAATGGTAGCTGCACTCATCTGGAGGGCACCAGGATGGGGAAGGCTGGTCCAAAAATTAGGAGAGAGGCAGCCTGGTGGATCTCTCATGGGAAGGTCTGTTTGAAAACAGAAGGATGTACTCTGACCCTTCTCCAAGCCTTGGGATCTGTCTATCTGCATCCTGAACTTTGAGTATGTCTTATTTTTTATTCCCTTTCTCCTTCCTCTGCTCTTCTTTGCTGTCCTCCTCTGTCTGCAGTACAAGATTGAAAAGGCTGAATTGCAGAGCCGGATCCTGAATGTGTCTGTCTGGCATAATGATGCCTTGGGCCGAAACCTTTTTATGGGAGAGGTCGAGCTTGCGTTGAATGCCTGGGATTGGACCAACACAGGTCCACAGTGGTTTAACCTCCAGCCCAGGGTGAGTGTTTCTTGTTTATCAATATGTTTATTTGTTTTTCTACTCTGCTACTTTTATGTAACGTGCAGTTATATTCCAGACAGCAGGTTCAGAAACTAACTAAGGATGGATACATACTAGACATGGTTAGGTTCGGTTGGAATCCTCGTAATTCGGAATAAATTTGGAAAGATTTCCTTTTTGAAGCGATTTCGAAGTTTTTAAGGAAACCGGAAGTCCCTTTGCCCTTCCGAAGCTTTTTCCGCCATTTCTGTTATGAATCAGTAAGTGAGTCAGAAATGATTCAGCTTTCCCCCCACTTCTGTTCCTTGTCCTCAGTTCAAGCCAGAGAAGCATTCTAAACCAGTGTGGAGGGATTCCCTTCTTTTCCTTTCCTTCCCGCATCAGTCTTAAGCGAGAGAAGCGGTTTTAACCAGTGTGGATGGATCCGCGTCAGTTTAAACCAGTGTGAATGGATTCCCTTCCTTTCCTTTCCCTCCCGCATCAGTTTAAACCAATGTGGATGGATTCCTTTCCTTTCCCTCCTGCGTCAGTCTTAAGTAAGAGAAGCATTTTTAACCAGTGTGGATGGATCCACGTTAGTTTAAACCAGTGTGGATGGATTTCCTTCCCTTCCTTTTCCTCCCGCTTCAGTCTTAAGCGAGAGAAGCGGTTTTAACCAGTGTAGATGGATCCGCGTCAGTTTAAACCAGTGTGGATGGATTTCCTTCCTTCCTTTCCCTCCCGCATCAGTCTTAAGCGAGAGAAGCGGTTTTGACCAGTGTGGATGGATCCGCGTCAATTTAAACCAGTGTGGATGGATTCCCTTCCTTTCCTTTCCCTCCCGCATCAGTTTAAACCAATGTGGATGGATTCCTTTCCTTTCCCTCCTGCATCAGTCTTAAGTAAGAGAAGCGTTTTTAACCAGTGTGGATGGATCCACGTCAGTTTAAACCAGTGTGGATGGATTTCCTTACTTTCCTTTTCCTCCCGCTTCAGTCTTAAGCGAGAGAAGCGGTTTTAACCAGTGTAGATGGATCCGCGTCAGTTTAAGCCAGTGTGGATGGATTCCCTTCCTTTCCTTCCCGCATCAGTTTAAACCAGTGTGGATGGATTCCCTTCCTTTCCTTTCCCTCCCGCATCAGTCTTAAGCGAGAGAAGCAGTTTAAACCAGTGTGGATGGATCCACGTCAGTTTAAACCAGTGTGGATGGATTCCCTTCCTTTCCCTCCCGCATCAGTCTTAAGCGAGAGAAGCAGTTTAAACCAGTGTGGATGGATCCGCGTCAGTTTAAACCAGTGTGGATGGATTCCCTTCCTTTCCTTTCCCTCCCGCACCAGTCTTAAGCGAGAGAAGCGGTTTTAACCAGTGTGGATGGATCCGCGTCAGTTTAAACCAGTGTGGATGGATTCCATTCCTTTCCCTCCTGCATCAGTCTTAAGCGAGAGAAGTGGTTTAAACCAGTGTGGATGGATCTGCGTCAGTTCCTTTCCTTTCCCTCCCGCATCAGTTTAAAACAGTGTGGATGGATTTCCTTCCTTTCCTTTCCCCCCGGCTTCAGTCTTAAGCGAGAAAAGCAGTTTTAACCGGAGTGGATGGATTTCTTCCCTTTGCTCCCCCCCCCCCCCCCCCCCGGCTTCTGGAGTAAAACAACTACTTTCAAAGTAAAGACCACCCAATGAAACAGGAAATAACACTTCAAAACCATTAACGAAGGATTCGGAAGTCTCTGAAGTTTTGAAAAGTTTTGAACATTTTTTTCTGTGAAAATCGGAATTGACTTTAGATCCGAACCCCCGCGCCCCCTACATCTGAAATGAGTTTTCAACCATTTTTTTTGGATCAAACAAGCCTAGTACATACTTCTCTTGGCTACATATCTCTATTAAGACTTTGGTTGCTGCTTGCAAGCCAACAATGTCAGGATGCATTTGGTAGTGCAGCTGTGCATCATTTCAGTCCTTAGAGCCACTTCCATTCCTCATGGAGAGTTAAAATGCAGATGACTGTGTAGATCCATATAAATACCTCGTTCTTCTCCTTTCACTATCCTCTGGGCAGATCTTTTGTGAAGCTAATAATTCTAAATGGCTAATTTAAAGAGGAAACTCCCCACAAAATACTTTCCATTATATTGTGTCAGTGTAAATCCACATATATTGCTGTCTACTGTATAAGTTGTCACTAAGCTCATACATAACAGGCAGGTTTGCAGGAGTCGCAAATAATGCAAGACTTTGCCCGTGTAATAACCAGGATGTTGAATGTATGTATAACATCTTACTGTCCTGTAGTTTTTACAAACAGGCTCGACTACATATTATTAACCCACTACTGAGCAACCTACCAGGTAGATCTGCCCAATTCCAAATAAAGGTTTTACTATGTGACAGTTTTTCCTATGTGACCTTGGCTGTTGCCAAGTTTCTTTCTGAGGTAGCCAGGATAAAACAACTTCCCGTTTTTTACTCAGGTTGATTCTTGCCTTGTATATATTTGCAGTGTTTTTACCGTGGTTTATATGCATCCAGAATTGCACTCATCTTGTTTTTAAGTGGTCCTTATGTTTTTAAGTGGTCAGTTTATGAATCTGCTGTGCACTTTTTCAGCTGAGCAAATTGGGTCTTTCATTAACAGGGAAGCCTAAGTGATTTGAAGTTGGGGTAGCAGATGATGTCAATATTCTCGGTGGTGGCCGGGAGAGCTTTTGCACAAATAAAACTTGTGAGCCAGCTGCGCCCGTACCTTGGGAAGTCTGACTTGGCCACAGTGGTCCACACTCTTGTTACATCCCGAATAGACTACTGCAATGCACTCTACATGGGGCTGCCTTTGAAAACTGCCCAGAAGCTTCAACTAGTCCAGCAGTCAGCAGCCAGGTTGCTCACCGTAGTGGCATACAGGGAGCACACAACTCCTCTGTTACACCAGCTCCACTGGCTGCCGATCAGCTTCCAATCACAATTCAAAGTGCTGGTGTTAACCTTTAAAGTCCTAAACAGTTCTGGTCCAGACTACCTGTCCAAATGTATCTCCTGTTATGAACCATCATGAAATTTAAGATCATCTGGAGAGGCCCTGCTCTCGATCCCACCGCCATCGCAAATGCGACTGGTGGGGACGAGGGACAGGACCTTCTCTGTAGTGACCCCCCATCTGTGGAACTCTCTCCCCAGGGACATTAGATTGGCCACCTCCCTCCTGTCTTTCAGAAGGAAACTTAAGACCTGGCTGTGGGACCAAGTGTTTGACCAGTAATAACAGCAAGTAAAAGAAAATTTGAGACGATGAATTGACCCGGACTGGATTCTGGATTTTGGAGTCTGATTCTAACAGTTTTAATCAATTGTTTAATCACTGTTTTAATATTTTATTGTATGGTTGATTGTTTTTATGATGTCGGCATCTTATGGTGCTTTTGTGAGGCTGCCATGAGTCCCCAATCGGGGGTGAGAAGAGCGGGGTAAAAATATAGGAAATAAATGGTTTTGGCCCAGCTTACTTGTCCGAACACATCTGCCTCTACGTTCCACCTCGTAATTTAAGATAATCTGGGAAGGCCCTGCTCTCTCTCCTGCCAAGATCGCAAACGCGGCTGGCGGGGACGAGAGACAGGGCCTTCTCAGCTGTAGCCCCCCGCCTGTGGAACGCGCTTCCAAATGAAATACGATCGACCCCATCCCTCTTTGCGTTCAGGAAGAAATTAAAATCTTGGTTTTGGTTCCAGGCTTTGGGACAATAAACATAAAGCAGCACTTTGGCTGGAAATGGATTGGCAAGACGATATGTATGAGGATATGGTTTTATGGTTTTATCAGTGAGTTTGTGGACTGAGTATTGTTTTAATGACTTATGATAATTTGGTTATAATTAACTGCTATTGTTTTAACTCTGTATGTATTTATGGTTTTATACTGTGTTATTGATTGTGGCATCGAATTGCTGCCTTTGTTAGCCGTTCTGAGTCCCCCCTCGGGGGTTGAGAAGGGCAGGGTAAAAATGCCGTAAATAATAAATAAATTAATAAATTAAAATTCCTGCAAGCTGTCAAACCTCCACTGGCTTTTTCACTATGCAAAAGAGAAGGAGAAAGAAAAAAAGTGTTGGGATCACAGGCCAACACTGCCACATTTTTTCTTCTTCTTCCAAGTCTCCTTGGGAAGTATAGGCATCAAGGTGAACATATTAAAATCCCAACAAGATCTCAGACCATAAGATCACGGATGTGCAGAGTGCGGCTCCACACACCCAAGCAGATGTGATGTCCAACACACAACTATACTGTATGAACGTGAGCAGCCTGCGTGACAAGGAACATGGACCAAGAGAGGCTTGGCTTGCTTTTTCTGCCCCAGGCAACCATGTGGGGCTTATTTAACCAACAAACATGCTTGGGCTTGCAGCTGTTTCTTTCAGCCAGGGTTGCTTTTGCTTGGGAACTCTCACTCAGTCTTCTAAGTGTTGATAACAATGAAACTGCAGGATGTTGCGTTAATAATGAAGAAACAAGAGGCTGCTTTTATTCATTAAGATCTGATTTTTGTTATCATTTTGGAGCAAATTATGGTTCCGTTCTTGCTGCATTCTTTCTCTGACTGTGACTGCTTTTCCCTTTCTTTTAGACTCTGCTCAGCCCTGATGCCTCATCTAACTGTGGAAAGATCATTCTCGCCATAAAATTCATCCCAGCTGGATCAGAAGGTGAGGCTCAATGCTCTGGTTCCATTCGGGTGATGTCCACGTGTCATGAATGACATTTCAATAACTTCGAATCATAGGTTCTTTTTATTGCAATTTCCACTGTGAGGGTGTACATCAGATTACAGAAAAACATTTAGACAAAGAATGACATTGGACATACAGACATACAGGTTCTATGCAACTTTATTTATTTATCGTGTCAGGAGCAAACCAAAACAGTTGTATTGCATTAAAAAAACAAACAAACAAAACACAAAGTTTGCGGACTTGGTATTCTATTAAATGTCCTTTGACCAGTGTCTGGCCACTTGGAGTGCCTCTATTATTTATTTATTTATTTCAAAGTTTTCTAAGTTTTTCTCAACCTCATTGAGGGACTCAGCCCGGTTTCCAACCATAAAAACACATACAATCATTAAAATATCATATCTCAAAATTACAGTAACAGATTTAAAATCACACTATATATAAAACTACGGTGGTCAGTCGTCGTATTAAAATCAGATCTACATCATCTTCCATCCAGAATCCTCTAGTGTTGCTGCAAGAAGGTCCTCCATTGTGCATGTGGCCGGGCTCAGGTTGCATTGCAGTATGTGGTCTGTGGTTTGCTCTTCTCCACACTCGCATGTTGTGGATTCCATTTTGTAGCCCCATTTCTTAAGGTTGGCTCTGCATCTTGTGGTGCCAGAACGCAGTCTGTTCAGCGCCTTCCAAGTTGCCCAGTTTTCTGTGTGCTCAGGAAGGAGTCTCTCATTTGGTACCAGCCATTGATTGAGGTTCTGGGTTTGAGCCTGCCACTTTTGGACTCTCGCTTGCTGAGGTGTTCCAGCGAGTGTCTCTGTAGATCTTAGAAAACTATTTATTTTTTATGTCATTGGCATGCTGGCTGATACCCAAACGGGGTGGGCCCAGAGATGTCACTGCCTTGGTCCTTTCACTATTGGTTGCGACTTCCCGGCGGATGTCGGGTGGTGCAATACCAGCTAAACAGTGTAATTTCTCCAGTGGTGTAGGGCGCAGACACCCTGTGATAATCCGGCATCTCTCATTAAGAGCCACATCCACTCAGTATGGGGATGCATACTCAGCAGCAGAGTAGCAAAGAGCAGGGACAGATGTCTTTACTGTGTCTGGTTGTGATCCCCAGGTTGTGCCAGTCAGCTTCGTACAATATTATTTCTAGCGCCCACTTTTTGCTTGATATTCAGGCAGTGCTTCTTGTAGGTCAGAGCTCGGTTCAGGGTAACTCCCAAGTATTTGGGTGCGCTACAATGCTCCAGTGGGATTCTTTCCCAGGGAATCCTCAGAGCTCTGGACGCTTGTCTGTTCTTAAGATGAAAAGTAAATGTCTGTGTTTTAGATGGATTAGGAATCAGCTGGTTTTCCCTGTAATAGGCAGTAAGAGCACCTAGAGCTTCGGAGAGTTTCTATGCAACTACAATGGATTTATAATTACATGGCTAACAAACAAACAAAGGGGAATTATATTTTCATTCAACATTCACACCACATTTACACTCATTCATCCTCAGGCATTCAAATATTACCATATCATTTTCTCCCTCCTTGGAAAAGCACCTTGCTTTCTTGTAGCCTGCCAACACATAGTTCCATAACTTCCAAACGCCATAACTTCAAAACGCTAAAATGCCAAAATTTCTTTCCCTAAGCACAACGCCAAGGACAAGATCTCTGTTTTCCATACAACAGAACCTGACTCCCTGCACAAAATCCAAGACTCCAAAAGTACACTTCTTCCTCTTATCTTGAGAAAGAAGCCCCAAAGTGTCCAGAATAATTCTTTCCCATAGCATATCTGACACTCTCCGAATACACCATCTCTCTCCTTCCCGTGTAGCAGAGCATGGCGGGTGGAACAGACTCCTCAGGTCTGCCACACTTTGAGCCTTATTAGTCTGAGTCTTTTATAGGAATATTCTGCTGATGTAGTCCCAAAGTTGTAAATTAATGATAGACGTCTTCTATCCTGGCTCCATTTCCGTTTCCTGGCCAGATGTTGACTCTTCTTGATTGGTGTTGACAAACACAAGGCTTGTGTTGACTTCCTTCTTAACATAAGGAATGCTGCAAACATTTCCTTAACTTGAAAGAACCATTGTCACAGTTCTTATCAGAGTTTACTTTTCAGTTCTTATTAGCAACTTTTAATTACAGTCCAGCAAGCAGGTTTGGTCATTGCAGGCCTGTGTCTTTTACTGGTGTTTCCGAAATTATTAACTCCATACAGCCTTCCATTCTTCCATTCATTCCCACATATCATTATATCAAGTATACATTAATAAAATCTGCATATTAAATTTTTGTGACACACGCTATCCACAATGCCAAGACTGGATGAGTGGGATTTTAAGAAATAAGTCTTTTGGGTTGTTGTAGGTTTTTTTCGGCCTATATGGCCATATTCTATAGGCATTCTCTTCTCACTTTTCGCCTGCATCTATGGCAAGCATCCTCAGAGGTTGTGAGGTCTGACAGAAAAAACCTACAACAACCCAGTCATTCCGGCCATGAAAGCCTTCGACAATAAATCTTTTCATAAACTTGCAGAAAAAATTGCCCCACTTGATACAGAGAGGTAAAAACCTGGTGCCTAAAAGGTAAGATCGAAGGTGGTGAGGAGATCTCTCTTGTAGAAAAATCTCACTATCTTGTTTGTAACAAGCCTAAAGTCCCCCCAGATGGGATCAGATGAAAATGATGGTGTCTGGCTATATTTTCATGGCCAGATGCAGGCTGATGGTGGCAAATCCTCAGGTTTCCAGATCAACCTGATGGATCTTAATGGAACACGTGAGAGCTAATACCCCAGAGAACAAGATCAGAATTCAAAATGACCTCTACGGATTGGAGAGTTCCACCCAAAATGAATTTCTGTAAGGGTTCAGTATTGTTCCCTATGTTGTACATGAAACTGCTGGGAGAAATCATCTGGAGTTTTGGAGTTCGATAAAATCTGTGTGTAGATGACATACAATTCTATCACTTCTTTCCATTGTTGCTAAGGAGGCTGTTCAGGTCCCGAACCAGTGCTTAGTGGCTGTGATGGTCTGGATGAGGGAGAACAAACTGAAATTGAATCCAGACAAGACGGAGGTCCTCCTGGTCAGTCGCAAGGCTGAACAGGGTATCAGGTTACAGCCTATGCTGGATGAGGTTACACACCGCCTGAAGACACAGGTTCTCAGCTTGGGAGTGATTCTAGATTCATCACTGCGCCTGGAACACCAGGTGTCAGTGGTGGCCAGGGGAGCTTTTGCACAATTAAAACTTGTGTGCCAATTGCGCCCGTACCTTGGAAAGTCAGATTTCGCCACAGTAGTTCATGCTCTGGTTACATCTCGATTAGACTACTGCAACTTGCTCTACATGGGGTTGCCTTTGAAGACTGTTGGAAGCTCCAAGTGGTTCAATGGACAGCAGCCAGGTTCCTTACTGGAGCAGAGTACAGGGAGCATAGATGGAGAATAAAGTTGGGGCAATAATACATCCCTGTTTGACACCTGATTCATCGCTATGATACTTCATCTTGTTGATGGGAACCTTCCCACCAGAGTGGAAATCATCTATTGGACAGATGGCAAGCTATTTAACCTCAGCAGACTGAAAGCCAAAACCAAGATTACAACATCTGTTATAGAACTCCAGTAAGCTGATGACAACGGTGTCTGTGTGCATTCAGAAGAAGACCTACAAGCCACTCTAAACACCTTCGCAGAAGCATACAAGAAGCTCAGCCTGTCATTGAACATGGAGAAAACCAAAATGCTCTTTCAGCAGTCACCAGCCAATCCCTCTCCAATGCCAGAGATACAGCTTAATGGTGTAACATTAGAAAATGTTAACCGTTTCCATTACCTTGGCAGCCACCTCTCCACCAAAGTCAACACTGACACCAAAATACAACACCGCCTGAGCTCTGCGAGTGCAGCATTTTTCCAAATGAAACAGAGAGTGTTTGAGGACCGGGACATCCGTGGGGATACCAAGGTGCTTGTTTATAAAGCTATTGTCCTCCCGACCCTGCTATACGCCTGCGAGATGTGGACAGTCTACAGATGTCACATGCAACTCCTGGAACGATTCCATCAGCGCTGCCTCCGGAAAATCCTACAAACCTTTTTGAAAGACAAACAGACAAATGTCAGTGTGCTGGAAGAAGCAAAGACCGCCAGCATTGAAGCGATGGTCCTCCGCCATCAACTCCACTGAACCGGCCACGTTGTCCGGATGCCTGACCACCGTCTCCCAAAGCAGTTGCTCTACTCCGAACTGAAGAACGGAAAACGGAATGTTGGTGGGCAGGAAAAGAGATTTAAAGATGGGCTCAAAGCCAACCTTAAAAACTCTGGCATAGACATTGAACTGGGAAGCCCTGAGTGCTCCAGCTGGAGGTCAGCTGTGACTAGCAGTGCTGTAGAATTTGAAGAGGCATGAATGGAGGGTGAAAGAAAGAAACGTGCCAAGAGGAAGGCGCATCAAGCCAACCCTAACCGAAACTGCCTTCCACCTGGAAACCAATGCCCTCACTGCGGGAGAAGATGCAGATCAAGAATAGGGCTCCACAGTTACCTACGGATCCACCGCACACTGACCCTGGAGGGCCATCCTACTCGGACAATGAGGGATCACCCAATAAGTACAGGGAGCATACAACCCCCCGTTACGCCAACTCCACTGGTTGCCAGTCTACTTCCAAGTACAATTCAAAGTACGGGCTTTATAGGCTAAATGGTTCCAGCTAAATGGTTCCAGCCCAGCTTACCTGTCCGAACGTATCTCCCTCTATGAACCATCTCTCAATCCCACCTTCTTCAGCATTTAGATTAGTCAAGGGGGGGGGGGGGTGGCTGTAGTTTTTAACTTTGAATTTTTTTAACGGTTTTTAACTGGGAATTTTAAATCCTGTTTATATTTAATCCTGTTTTAATGTTCACATATTTTAAATGGTTTGCTGATGCTTTTAGGTTAAGCTGCTTTGAGTCCCCTTCAGGGGAGATAAAGTGGGTATTATTATTATTTGAAACACAACAAAATGAGTCCACAGCAGACACTCTGCTGGCTGTTGTATTGGATCACACGTGAGACACTTCCCATGTGACTAGGATTGTGTGATGTATCGGCAAATAATGTGTGCAGATCCCAGTAAGGTGGCCTTTTGTAGCAGGCAGATAGTAATCTTGTCAGCGTCGATTATGTTTAAGTGCAGGCCAAGGTCTTTAGGCACTGCACCCATTGTGCCGATCACCACTGGGAGCACTTTATTTATTTATTTAGAGCTTTTATAACCCGGTCTTTTCGACCTCCAAAGAGGGACTCAGGCCGGCTAACAGCAGAAAATTCATACACACATAGAATAAACGTAATAGCATCATAATACATTAATACAAAAATACATTAAAATACAGATCATACAATTACAAAAGCCAGGTCGTCAGAGTTTGGTTTGTGCCAGAGTCTTTGCAGTTCGATCTTTAAATCCTCATATCGTGTCAGCTTTTTTTTTTTTTATTTCGAGTATTTCTAACCCACCCTTCTCAACCCCCTAAGGGGGGGACTCAGGGCGGCTTCCAGCCGGCACATATTTGATGCCTACATTTAAACACAATACAATACATATCACAGTAATTATAAATTGTTAAAACATTAAATTATTACAATAAAATCTCATAGAAAAAGCCAGCTTGGTGGCCATCGTTTTGCCGAGTTCTGTAATCGGTGAGCCATTCAGCTTATCATAGTCTGTTTCCAAAGCTCATTGTCGTCATTTTCCTTGTCAATCTGCCAGATTACCCAAAGGTCTGGTCCCATATCCATGTTTTTAATTTCCTTCTAAAAGAGAGGAGGGATGACGATGATCTAATTTCCCCGGGGAGTGAGTTCCACAGGCAAGGGGCCACCAGCGAGAAGGCCCTGTCCCTCGTCCCTGCCAGCCTTGTTTGTGACAAGGGTGGGGCCGAGAGTAGGGCCCCTCCAGAAGATCTTAAATTCCTAGGCGGGACGTAGAAGGAGATACGTTCGGACAGGTATGCTGGGCCGGAGCCGTATAGGGTTTTATAGGTCAAGACCAGCACTTTGAATTGTGCTCGGAATTGGATTGGCAGCCTGTGGAGCTGACATAGCAGGGGGTGGTATGCTCCCTGTATGACGCTCCTGTGAGTAATCTGGCTGCCGCCCGCTGGACTAGTTGAAGTTTCCGAACAGTCTTCAATGGCAACCCCACGTAGAGCGCGTTGCAGTAATCCATTCGGGATGTAACAAGAGCGTGGACCACTGTGGCCAGATCAGACTTCCCAAGGTACGGGCGCAGCTGGCGCACAAGTTTTAATTGTGCAAAAGCTCTCCCGGCCACCGCCGAGACCTGGGGTTCCAGGCTCAGCGATGAGTCCTGGATCACTCCCAAGCTGCGAACTTGCGTCTTCAAGGGCAGTGTAACCCCGTAACCCTATGCCCTGTTCGGCCTTGCGACTGACCAGTAGGACCTCTGTCTTGTCTGGATTCAGTTTCAATTTGTTAGCTCTCATCCAGTCCGACACAGCAGCCACTGGTTCAGAGTCTGGACAGCCTCCTTGGTGACAGGTGAGAAGGAGTGACAGATTTGGACATCATCTTTTCCAATTATTATTATTATTATTATTATTATTATTATTATTATTATTATGGCAAATAACCTTCCTCTACATGGCTTTATTTCAGAGCCAGGGCTTCCTCCCACTGGGGAGCTCCATATCTGGGTGAAGGAAGTGCAGAACATCACTCCACGGAGGGGCAACACAGCAGACACCTTCGTTCAGTGGTAAGTGTCAGTGCTTTTATGGCTACAGGCTGGACTTTAGGGCAGGCATGGGCTAACTATGGCTCTCCAAGTGTTTTGGGCTTCAACTCCTACAATTCCTAACAGCCAGTAGGCTGTTAGGAATTGTGGGACTTGAAGTCCAAAACACCTGGAGGGCCAAAGTTGGCCCATGCCTGCTTTAGGGCAAACCATATCCTAGGCAAAACATAAATGTACAGCTTGTTGCATGTACAACGGCACACTCATCCTTTTGGATTGTTACTGGCGAGACAATTTTCTGAATGACAGCCTGTGTTTAAAACAAAATAAAACAATGCCTTCTTGTCAGCAGGAAGCCAGCACAGTGCGCAAAGAGCAGTGCTTGATTCTGTTGGGACTGCATGCTCATTTCCTATCTCTGGGGTGTCTGTTTGTTTACGAGGAGGAGCATGCATTCCCGCAGTCTTCCATCTGTCCTCTCAAGTGTGATTTTCCATTCTGCTGCTTTAGGATTTCTCAATTTTATTCTCTGCATGTGTTTGCACAGACTTGTGTTTTTTTAAAAAAGAATGTGAGTCCCATGAGAGATAATGAAGGATTGCCTAACTATAATCATTCAAGTTCCAGGTAATTCCTGGTGTTTTTTCCGTTGATTAAGAGCAAACATACTCCTCCTTTGCCCCATCCAGACGAGGACTGTGATGCTGAAGAAGTGATCATTCCCTCCCAGTGCCATTTTCACATGGAAAATTTTACAATTTAGGACAAACTTATGACCACTTAGGGCAGTGGTTCTCAACCTTCCTAATGCCACGACCCCTTAATACAGTTCCTCATACTGTGGTTACCCCCAATCATTGCAGTATTTTTGTTGCTGCTTCACAACTGTAATTTTCCAAGCAGTCTTGCCAGACACACAACCAGGAGGTGACAACGCAGGTTCCTCAGCTTGAAAATGAAGGAAAGCACCTCTCAGAGCCAGAGATGAGCACCGCCTGCAGAAGCCAGAAATGAAAAGGAGAAGCCTCTGCCTTTGTTTGTGTTTGTGTGTTTCATTGTATCTGATTGTAAAGGCAGTTTTTATTTGTCGTGTCAGATCAACCAGTCAATTATATTACATTTCTAACAGAACAAAGCAAACAAACAGATAAAATACAGCATTTGTGAGTTTGGTAGTTGGTTAAATGTCCTTTGACCAGTATCTGGCCACTTGGAGTGCTTCTGGTGTTGCTGCAAGAAGGTCCTCCATTGTGCATGTGGCAGGGCTCAGGTTGCATTGCAGCAGGTGTCAGTGGTTTGCTCTTCTCCACATGTTGTGGATTCCACTTTGTAGCCCCATTTCTGAAGGTTGGCTCTGCATCTCGTTGTGCCAGAACGCAGTCTGTTCAGCGCCTTCGAAGTCGCCCAGTCCTCTGTGTGCCCAGGGGGAGTCTCTCATTTGGTATCAGCCATTGGTTGAGGTTCTGGGTTTGAGCCTGCCACTTTTGGACTCTCGCTTGCTGAGGTGTTCCAGCGAGTGTCTCTGTAGATCTTAGAAAACTATTTCTTGATTTAAGTCGTTGACGTGCTGGCTGATACACAAACAGGGGATGAGCTGGAGATGTCTCTGCCTTGGTCCTTTCACTATTGCTGCTACTTCCCGGCGGATGTCAGGTGGTGCAATACCGGCTAAGCAGTGTAATTTCTCCAGTGTTGTAGGGCGCAGACACCCCGTGATAATGCGGCATGTCTCATTAAGAGCCACATCCACTGTTTTAGTGTGGTGAGATGTGTTCCACACTGGGCATGCATACTCAGCAGCAGAGTAGCACAGCGCAAGGGTGGATGTCTTCACTGTATCTGGTTGTGATCCCCAGGTTGTGCCAGTCAGCTTTCGTATGATATTGTTTCTAGCACCCACTTTTTGCTTGATGTTCAGGCAGTGCTTCTTGTAGGTCAGAGCACGGTCCAGAGTGACTCCCAGGTATTTGGGTGCGCTGCAATGCTCCAGTGGGATTCCTTCCCAGGTGATCCTCAGAGCTCGGGATGCTTCTCTGTTCTTGAGATGAATGGCACATGTCTGTGTTTTGGATGGGTTGGGGATCAGCTGGTTTTCCCTGTAATAGGCAGTAAGAGCACCTAGAGCTTAGGAAAGCTTCTGTTCTACCATCTCAAAGCTCCCTGCTTGAGCAGTAATGGCACGATCATCAGCATAGATGAAACTCTCTGTCCCTTCTGGCAGTGGCTTATTATTATTATTATTATTATTATTATTATTATTATTAGAAACACAACAAGATGAGTCCACAGAAGACACTCTGCTGGCTGTTGTATTGGATCACACGTCGGACACTTCCCAAGTGTCTAGGACTGTGTGATGTATCGGCGAATAATGCGTGCAGATCCCAGTAAGGTGGCCTTTTGCAGCTGGCAGATGGTAATTTTGTCAGCGCCGATTGTGTTTAAGTGCAGGCCAAAGTCTTTAGGCACTGCACCACTGGGACCACCTTGACTGGCTTGTGCCAGAGTCTTTGCAGTTCAATCTTTAAATCCTCATATCGTGTCAGCTTTTCCAGTTGTTTCTCTTCAGTCCTGATGTCACCTGGGATTGCAACATCGACAATCCATACTTTTTTTTTAAACAGATTGTGAGGTCAGGAGTATTGTGCTCCAAAACTCTATCAGTCTGAATTCAGAAGTCCCAGAGTAGCTTGACATGTTCATTCTCTGTAACTTTTTCCGGCTTGTGCTCCCACCAGTTCTTTGTCGCAGGCAGATGGTGTTTGTGGCATAAGTTCCAATTAATCATCTGAGCAACGGTGTTATGCCTCTGCTTATAGTCTGTCAGCGCGATATTCTTACAGCAGCTGAGAATGTGATCTATTGTTTCATTTGCTTCCTTGGAGTCTACATTTGGGATTTGTTGTTGACTTTTCAATTCTGGCTTTGATGACATTGTTTCTAATGGCTTGTTCTCGGGCTGCCAGAATCAGGCCCTCCGTCTCCTTTTTCAAAGTTCCATTTGTGAGCCACAGCCATGATTTTTCTTTGTCAATTTGGCTCTCAATTTCTCCGTTATTATTATTATTATTATTATTATTATTATTATTATTATTATTATTATTTTACTGACACAAAAGCACAGTATGTCACAGCAAACGAGATCTATATGCTGGATTTCGTATCACAAAATCACAAGTCGAACACTTCCCAAGCGTCTAGGACTGTGTGATGTAATTTCGAATGATGCACGCAGATCCAAGTCAGGTGGCCTTTTGCAGTTGACAGATCATGATTTTGTCAATGTTCGTTGTTTCCAAATGCCGGCTGAGATCTTTTGGCATGTCATCCAGTGTGCCCATGACCACTGGGACCACCTGTGCTGATTTATGCCAGAGCCTTTGCAGTTCGATTTTGAGGTCTTGATAGCGGTTGAGTTTTTCCTGTTGTTTTTCCTCAATGCAACTGCCACCTGGAATGGTGACATCAATAATCCACACTTTTTTCTTTTCCACAATCGTGATGTTTGGTGTATTGTGTTCCAAAACTCTGTCAGTCTGGATTCGAAAGTCCCACAGTATTTTTGCATGTTCATTTTCCATGACCTTTGCGGGTTTATGGTCCCACCAATTCTTTATTGCTGGCAGGTGGTACTTATGACATAAGTTCCAGTGAATCATTTACGCCACAGAGTTGTGTCTTTGTTTATAGTGCGTCTGTGCAATTTTCTTGCCACAGCTGAGGATATGGTCCATGGTTTCATGAGCTTCCTTGCATTTTGGGTCATTTGTTGGTTTTTTCAATCCTAGCCTTAATTGCATTGGTTCTGATGGCTTGCTCCTGGGCTCCAAGAATCAGGCCTTCTGTCTCCTTCTTTAGGGTTCCATTCATGAGCCATAACCAGGTCTTCTCCTTATCAACTTTTCCTTCAATCTTCTCAAGGAACTGCCCATGCAAGGCTTTGTTGTACCAGCTGTCAGCTCTGGTTTGGGGTGCAGTTTTCTTGTACTGACTCTTTGTCTGCTGTGCATTGAGAAGTTTCTGATTATTGACTTCAATTAAATAGGTTCTTGGCTTTCCTTTACATATTCTGCCAGGGTGTGTTTTTCTTCTTCGACTGCTTGTTTTACTTGTAAAAGTCCTCTGCCACCAGACTTTCTAGGCAGATAGAGTCGGTCAACATCACTGCGAGGATGTAATGAATTATGAATGGTTGTTGTTGTTGTTGTTGTTGTTATTATTCCCCACTTTTTCTCTCCCGCAGGAGACTCAAAGCAGCTTAATATAAAAGCATTAGCATACAATTTAAAATGTAAAAATATGCAAACATTAAAACAGAATTAAATATAAACGGTATGAAAAAGAATATGACTGATTTGCATCCTTGCAAAGTACTTAGTAGTTTAGACTGAGACTTCAGCCATATTTAGAATACACCCGCTGAAATTAATGGGACATTAATCACAGAGCAGACCTATTGAAATTAATAACATGTTAGCTTTATTTATTTGTCATGTCAGGGCAACCAGTCAATTATATTACATTTCTAACAGAACAAAACAAACAAACAGACAAAATACAAAATTGGCGAGTTTAGTAGTTGATTAAATTTCCTTTGACCAGTATCTGGCCACTTGGAGTGCTTCTGGTGTTGCTGCAAGAAGGTCCTCCATTGTGCATGTGGCAGGGCTCAGGGTGCATTGCAGCAGGTGGTCAGTGGTTTGCTCTTCTCCACACTTGCATGTCGTGGATTCCACTTTGTGGCCTCATTTCTTGAGGTTGGCTCTGTATCTCGTGGTGCCAGAGTGCAGTCTGTTCAGTCTTCTGTGTGCCCAGGGGAGGGGGGGGGGAGACTCTCATTTGGTATCAGCCATTGGTTGAGGTTCTGGGTTTGAGCCTGCCACTTTTGGACTCTCACTTGCTGAGGTGTTCCAGCTAGTGTCTCTGTAGATCTTAGAAAACTATTTCTAGACTTAAGTTGTTGACGTGCGGGCTGATACCCAAACAAGGGATGAGCTGGAGATGTCTCTGCCTTGGTCCTTTCACTATTGGCTGCTACTTCCCGGCAGATGTCAGGTGGTGCAATACCGGCTAAGCAGTGTAATTTCTCCAGTGGTGTAGGGCGCAGACAACCCTGTGATAATGCGGCATGTCTCATTAAGAGCCACATCTACTGTTTTAGTGTGGTGAGATGTGTTCCACACTGGGCATGCGTACTCAGCAGCAGAGTAGCCTAGCGCAAGGGCAGATGTCTTCACTGTGTCTGGTTGTGATTCCCAGGTTGTGCCAGTCAGCTTTTGTACGATATTGTTTCTAGCACCCACTTTTTGCTTGATGTTCAGGCAGTGCTTCTTGTAGGTCAGAGCAGGGTCCAGAGTGACTCCCAGGTATTTGGGTGCGCTACAATGCTCCAGTGGGATTCCTTCCCAGGTGATCCTGAGAGCTCGGGATGCTTCTCTGTTCTTGAGATGAAAAGCACATGTCTGTATTTTAGATGGGTTGGGGATCAGCTGGTTTTCCCTGTAATAGGCAGTAAGAGCACCTAGAGCAGTGTTTCTCAACCTGGGGGTCGGGACCCCTGGAGGGGTCACCAGGGGGTTCCAGAGGGGTCACCAAAGATCATCAGAAAACACAGTATTTTCTGTTGGTCATGGGGGTTCTGTGTGGGAAGCTTGGCCCAATTCTATCATTGGTGGGGTTCAGAATGCTTTTGATTGTAAGTGAACTATAAATCCCAGCAACTACAATTCCCAAATGTCAAGGTCTATTTTCCCCAAACTCCATCAGTGTTCACATTTAGCATACTGAGTATTCGTGCCAAGTTTGGTCCAGATCCATCATTGTTTGAGTCCATAGTGCTCTCTGTAGGTGAACTACAAGTCCCAAACTCAACGTCAATGCCACCAAACCCTTCCAGTGTTTTCTGTTGGTTGTGGGCATTCTGTGTGCCAAGTTTGGTTCAATTTCATCGTTGGTGGAGTTCAGAATACTCTTTGATTGTAGGTGAACCATAAATCACAACAACCACAACTCCCAAATTATGTTTCATAACAGGAGCAAAATAATGTCATGGTTGGGGGTCACCACAACATGAGGAACTGTATTAAGGGGTCGTGGCATTAGCAAGGTTGAGAAACACTGACCTAGAGCTTTGGAGAGCTTCTGTTCTATACATGATATCAGGTCTCCTCTCAGCCAAACATGTTAGCTATGATTATTGCAGCGTCTCTTGGTTCGAGTGGTTCTAAATGTGACTTGGTTGACATCTAATCCACATTGTTTTGACTTCCTAAACTTGAGATGCACCAGGAAACTGGGAGGCTTTACTAAATGTTTGGCACTGGAGGCTTCATTGGCAGTGGACCTTCGCAAGTTCTCCAGGCTTCACACCCAACTAACCATCCCTTTTCAGTTTAGAACAGGTTTAGGAAATTGTCACCTTTCTTTCCCTTCCAGCTACATCCTCCCTGATGACAGCAAAGCCGGCCGGCAGAAGACTCGCATTGTTAAGAAGAGCCTCAGCCCCATTTTTAACCATACCATGGTTTATGATGGCTTCCAGGCCAAGGACTTGGTGGAGGCATGCGCGGAGTTCACTGTATGGGATCGTGAGAAATTCTCCAAGCAGCAGCTGGGTGGCATCCGCCTGAGTCTTGGCACAGGTGAGACAAGGAGGTCTTCATCGAAGCAAGGTGGATGGGATTCCAAGAAGAGGGTCTCTGAGGGAGGGCAGCTTAGATGGTACTCACCAGAGAGCTGGATCAACTTTGCAGTATTGTGAACAAGATGGATATTCCGTTGTAACTTGGGGTGGTTCACAAAATAGCACATAAGATGCTATACATAAAATACATAATGCATCAAATAAAATACAACAGATCCTAAGCATCCTTAGATGGAGTAGAATCACAGAATCATAGAGTTGGAAGAGACCTCATGACCAATCCAGTCCAACCCCCTGCCAAGAAGCAGGAAAATTGCATTCAAAGCATCCCCGACAGATGGCCATCCAGCCTCTGTTTAAAAGCTTCCAAAGAAGGAGCCTCCACCACACTCCGGGGCTGATGAACTCTCACAGTCAGGAAGTTCTTCCTAATGTTCAGATGGAATCTCCTTTCTTGTAGTTTGAATTTATTTATAATTTATTTATTTACAGCTTTTATATTCCGTCCTTCTCACCCGGCAGGGGACTCAGGACGGATTACAGTGTACACATATATGCCAAACATTCAGTGCCAATTTTTGACATACAAACATATACAGACATACACAGAGGCTATTTAACTTTTTTTCTGGCTGCCAGGGAAGCTGTCGCTTTCATCGTCCATCTGCGACGCAGATGAAGCACTTCCGCATTCCCCACATGCTTCCCCACTGGAATGCTTTGCTGGAGTCTTCTTTATGGCCTCATAAATCAGTTAATTTAGCCTCCCCACACTTTAAGGTGGTACCTTATTTTCCTACTTGACAGATGCAACTGTGTAATTGGTTGGAAACCTACTCCAACCCGGGCTGGATTCGAACTCATGACCTTTTGATCAGAGTGATCTTAATGCAGCTGACACTCAGCCAGCTGCGCCACAATCCCGGTGCCATTGAAGCCATTGCTCCGCGTCCTAGTCTCCAGGGCAGTGGATATCAAGCTTGCTCCCTCCTCCCTATGACTTCCTCTCACATATTTATACATGCTATCAGGTCTCCTCTCAGCCTTCTCTTCTTCAGGTTAAACATGCCCAGCTCTTTGAGCCGCTCCTCATAGGGCTTGTTCTCCAAACCAGTCACTGTACTTTAGTAAACATGGCGATGATTGGAGAGGGGTGTCTATATACACATACACATTCTATGACAGCGGTTCTCAACCTGTGGGTCCCAAGGTGTTTTGGCCTACAATTCCCAGAAATCCCAGCCAGTTTACCAGCTGTTAGGATTTCTGGGAGTTGAAGGCCAAAACATCTGGGGACCCACAGGTTGAGAACCACTGTTCTATGTGCATTCAGCTGCACTGCTATATTGATTACACGGACCTTTACACTGATTCTATTTTAATAGAGGTTGTTTTACCCAATCTATATACTTGGTTTATATAATGCTATTATTGTTTTCATATTGTTGTATTTCATTTTATGCATTATGTATTTTGTGTATGACATCTTGTGTGCTATTTTGTGAGCCACCCCGAGTCCCTATGGGAAATGGTGGCGGGGTATAAATAAAGTATTATTATTATTATTATTATTATTATTATTATTATTATTATTATTATTAGGTAGAGGCAGTAGTGAAAGCAGGAACATGTGGTGATAGTACCTTTTGGGGGTGTTTCGATTGTGTTTTTCCTGCATGGAAGAAGGGGTTGGACTAGATGCCCATGTGGTCTCTTCCAACTCTATGATTCTATAATTCTAAGAGTGTTACAGTTTTCTCTAATCTCAGTTTCAGAAGTGTTGGAATTTCTAATCTCGGGCTCAAATGATAGAACTGGACACTTTTTCCCTTACTGTAAGAGGTCCCTTACATACAGCTAGCATAATGTAAGCCCCCTTCTACATTGTCATATAAAATCCAGATTGAATTCCTTAAAGTGGATTATATGACAGTGTAAAGGTAAAGGTTTCCCCTTGACATTAAGTCTAGTCGTGTCCGACTCTGTTGGATGGTGCTCATCTCCATTTCTAAGCTGAAGAGTCCGCATTGCCTGTAGACGCCTCCCATGTCATGTGGCCAGCATGACTGCATGGAGCACCATTACCTTCCCGCAGAAGCAGTACCTATTGATCTACTCACATTTGCATGTTTTCGAACTGCAAGGTTGGCAGAAGCTGGGGCTAACAGCTGGAGCTCACCCCACTCCTCAGATTTGAACTGCCAACCTTTTCATCAGCATGTTTAGCAGCTCGGCAGTTTAACCCTCTGCATCACCATGGGCTCCAGTGTAGTGTAGTGTTGACACAAATAATCCAGTTCAAAGGAGATAATGTGGATTATCTGCTTTGATAATTTGGATTATATGGCAGTGTAGAAGGGGTCTAAGGCAAGGGTAGGAAATGTGCATAGAAATTGGTTCATGTTTTTTTTCAAACTGTAGGCTGGCCCAACAGTTTGAGGGACTGTGAACTGGTCCTTTGTTTAAAAGGTTTGAGGAGCCCTGCCCTACCGCAACGTTGTCGCAAGATTTGTTCAAAGGGTGGTTGTCTTTTGAGAATTACCTGCCCAAGGTCACCCTGTCAGTTTCCATAGTGCAGCCAAGATTCGGACCCTGGTCTACCAACATAGTCTAACACCCAAACCTGCCTCACATTGTGTAAATTAAGGACTACTCTGCTATTTGCTAGTTTGGGGTATATGTAGGGATCATGAAAGTCCCGTAGTCTTCACTTGCCAGGCTACAACTACTGTAATTGACAGGAGCGTCTTTCCCTTTGAATTAGAAAGCAGCTAAATAACAGTCTCACCTCTCCTTGCTTGAGCAGTCTCTGGAGTATGAGAGACTTTCTGAATGCCACATCAGAAATCATTCACAGAAGGGGTGAAAATGGTAATCAGACACTTCCCAGTTGACAAGTGAAGAAATTCCCACCAATCACAATGGCTGCTGCCTGATAGGTGAGCATATTAGGTGGAAGGGTCAGGCTGAGTACTATTGACTGCGTAACTGAGCTGGTTACCTAGCCAGGGAGGTGATCCTAAATTGTTGGGCTGTGGTGGCACAATGGGTTAAACTCTTGTGCTGCTGAGCTGCTGACCTGAAGGTTGATAGTTTGAATCCACAGAACAGGGTTAGCTCCCGCTGTTAGCCCTAGCTCCTGTCAACCTAGCAGTTCAGAAACATGCACATGTGAGTAGATCAATAGGTACCGCTTCAGCAGGACAAGGCAAAAAGATGCTCCAAGCAGTCTTGCTGGCCACACGACCAGGAGGTGACAACGCAGGCTCCTCGGCTTGGAAATGAAAAAAAGCACACCCCCCCCAAATGCCAGAAATGAAAGGAGAAGCCTTTTCCTTTGTTTGTGTGTCTCATTGTATGCAATTGTAAGGCATTGAATGTTTGCCTATGTGTACTGTATATATTGTAATCTGCTCTGAGAAAAGCACCCCCCCCCCCAGAGATGAGCACAGCCTCCAGGAGCCAGAAATGAAAGGAGAAGCCTTTGCCTTTGTTTGTGTTTGTGTGTCTCATTGTATGCGATTGTAAGGCATTGAATGTTTGCCTATGTTACTGTATATATTGTAATCTGTTCTGAGAAAATCACCCCCCCCCCCTGCAGAACCAGAGATGAGCACAGCCTCCAGGAACCAGAAATGAAAGGAGAAGCCTTTGCCTTTGTTTATGTTTGTGTGTTTCATTGTATTTGATTGTAAGGCACTGAATGTTTGCCTGTGTCTACTGTATATATTGTAATCAGCTCTGAGTCCCCTAGGAGAGAAGGGCAGAATATAAAGAAAGTGTATTATGATTATGATTATTATTCCTGCCAATAATAACCATTACCTCGCAACACTTGACTTTTTTAATGGAGTGTTTCAACCTAAACACCCTAAATAAGTAAATGAGTTTTGCATTCCAAGGGGAAATTGAAATGCTGATTCTTAGACTCAGTCTTAATGTGGACTGGTACTATAAGGATAGGAGCCAAGGGCACGGGAGCCATGATGGCTGCCTAAGAACGCCCTCCTACGCCAATGCCAAGCCTACAAAGCACGTAGCTTTTTGACAGTTACTTTTGGCAACTGACTGGGGACTCTTGTTTTCATGCAGGCAACAGCTATGGCCTCCCTGTCCCTTGGATGGATTCGACAGAGGAGGAGCGCCATGTTTGGGAGATGGTGTTCAAGCAGCCGCGACAGTGGGTCGAAGGCAAACTTCCCTTGAGGACCAACTTGACCCCTCGGACTTAATCTCACCCTGCATTCGCCGTTTGAGCTTCGTGGGCTAATGGCAAAGCGTGGATCTACTTCCACAGAAGGAACCTGATAGATGTAATTTCTGGAGGCCGACCATGGCTGGGGACAACAAACTTGGTGCTGGACGTCACGCTCCGTTGAAAAGATTGAGACAGTGCGGCTGTCTCCTTTACCTGAACTCCTTGCTCTCACAACGCGAGGGGGAAAGACAACTCAGCTAGGGAGGGCGCCATTTTGTTCAGCTACCTGTTTAGAGTATTGATTATTCACCATCTATGGCTATCTTCACCTTCCCACTTCAGTGTGCACACTATGAACACTGACAAAAATACCTCCTTGCATTTTTTGTTTTGGTTTTAATTAATTTACTGATATCTCCCACCTCGTCTGGTGCACAGAGAAGCCCAAGGAGCTCATTGTTTAAATAATTTCTGCTTTCAGCAGGAATGGTGGTTTCCATCACCCACGCCTCCTCCTTTAGAGACGCTTAGCCCTGTTGTGTTCCCAGTCTGCAGTTCTGCAGGAAGGCACTGTCCAGCTTTACTGAACCTGTATTTGTAGGGTCAGTCAGAATGGCTTTGTTTCTCTTCTTCTGAGGTTCAAGCCACAGGAGATGTTTGCAGTTTTTCTGGTCTTTCTCTAAACCCAACCGGCTGTATGTGTGCATGGCAACTTTTGCCAGAGGGACTTCCACAGAAACGGTGATGTTTCCTCAAAACATTATTTTGCTGGAGGGGAGAAGGGACATTTCCCCGTACTGCCTTCCATTCCCCCCCTTGGTTGTAAAGTCGGAAAACGAGGACTCAAATGTGTGGATGGGCAAAACATAAATGCCGGTGACATCCTTCTTCTTATTGCTGAGCAAGTAAGTGCATCTTGTGAATAGTCTGTGGCTTATTTGGGTCTCAGTCAGCTTCATGTTGCAACTGCTGGCCAAGGGCTTGTCGATGGTTTAAGAGAGCTCTCCAGATGCGGCATACCATTCCCCCTCTGTCAAAAAAGAGCAAGAATTGAGTTGGGTTTGGATCACATTATATTAGACAACTGGCCTACTATGGCTTCAGAAGTTGCATTAAGCATGCATTCAGTCACTTGGACAACCTCTCAGAAATGGAATCATTCAGAGCAAGACTGGAAGCAATTTATCTGCTTTGGACTCTTAAATGAAGTGTTACTCTCATCCCGTGGTTCCCAACCGTTGGACTTCAACTCCCGGAAATCCCAGCCATTTTACCATCTGTTAGGAATTGTGGGAGCTGAAGTCCAAAACATCTGGAAGACCAAAAGTTAAAAACCACTTCTCTCATCCATTGAATTCTCTTAACCCGGAAATGGCGGCATCTTGAATAGTTTCCATGCTGATATTTGTAATCGGTAGCTGTTGATTTCTCCCTACCTCCAGGCCTTCTAGGCCAACCGCAGATCGGTACTACAAACAAAATAAAAAATGGTAGTTCCTTTGCCTATAATTCTTACATTGTTAAAGGTTTTGGCTACATTGTGATCATGGACATAAGAGATTAAACTAAAAGTGGTGGATGGAAATAACTGACTTGAGTGTGTATGGGGGGCAACGTAGGCCATTTGGAATCCCCAATCCTCTAATTCAGTGGTTCTCAACTTTCCTAATGCCGCAACCCCTTAATACAGTCCCTCATGTTGTGGTGACCCCCAACCATAACATTATTTTTGTTGCTACTTCATAACTGTTAAAAAACGTAATGTAAATATCTGAGATGCAGGATGTATTTTCATTCACTGGGCCAAATTTGGCACAAATACGCCCACATTTGAATACTGGTGGGGTTGGGGGGGGGGTTGTAGTTGCTGAGATTTATAGTTCACCTATAATCAAAGAGCATTCTGAACCCCACCAACAATGGAATTGAACCAAACTTGGCACACAGAACTCCCATGACAAACTGAAAATACTGGAAGGGTTTGGTGGGCATTGATCTTCAGTTTTGGAGTTATAGTTCACCTACATCCAGAGAGCACTGTGGACTCAAACAATGATGACCTGGACCAAATTTGGCACAAATACTCAATATGCCCAAATGTGAACACCAGTGGAGTTTGGGGAAAATAGACGTCGACATTTGGGAGTTGTAGTTGCTGGGATTTATAGTTCACCTACAATCATTGGAGGGAAGGATACTAGAGACAAAGTTGAAGTACTTTGGCCACATCATGAGGAGACAGCAATGCCTATAGAAGACAATTATGCTGGGGAAAGTGGAAGGTAAAAGAAAGGGGCCGACCAAGGGCTAGATGGATGGATGGCATCCTTGAAGTGACTGGACTGACCTTGAAGGAGCTGGGGGTGGTGACGGCCGACAGGGAGCTCTGGCGTGGGCTGGTCCATGAGGTCACGAAGAGTCGGAAACGACTGAACGAATGAACAACAAACAATCAAAGAGATCTCTGAACCCCACCAATGAGAGAATTGGGCCAAACTTCCCACACAGAATCCCCATTACCAACAGAAAATACTATGTTTTCTGATGGTCTTTGGCGACCCCTCTGACACCCCCTTTGCAACCCCCAGGTTGAGAAACACTGACCTAATTCCTTACCATTGTCCATGATAGATAGTGCTGATAGGAACTATAACTTAAAATATTGGAAAGATCAGTGGTTCATCGCCTCTAAGGATGAATTACATCAGGCATCCTCAAAATGCAGCCTTCCAACTGTTCGGGCCTTCAATTCCACCCCCCCCCCTTTTTTTTTCTTTTTTTTTTTAGCTGCTTAGACTATTTTATTGGCATTCAAATGTGGTGATAAAAATGTCCTAAGCTCAACAGAAAGCAATGCAAGGCAGAGGAAAACACTCACACTCACACAAAAGGATGTACATTTTGCTGAAATGGAAAATCATCATGGTACTGTAAATAGTGTAGTATAACAATAGAAATGACAGTTGCATTCTATTCTGCTCTGGTTAGACCACACCTGGAATATTGTGTCCAATTCTGGGCACCACAATTCAAGAGAGATATTGACAAGCTGGAATGTGTCCAGAGGAGGATGACTAAAATGATCAAGGGTCTGGAGAACAAGCCCTATGAGGAGCGGCTTAAGGAGCTGGGCATGTTTAGCCTGAAGAAGAGAAGGCTGAGAGGAGATATGATAGCCATGTATAAATATGTGAGAGGAAGCCACAGGCAGGAGGGAGCAAGCTTGTTTTCTGCTTCCTTGGAGACTAGGACGCGGAACAATGGCTTCAAACTACAAGAGAGGAGATTCCATCTGAACATTAGGAAGAACTTCCTGACTGTGAGAGCCGTTCAGCAGTGGAACTCTCTGCCCCCAGAGTGTGGTGGAGGCTCCTTCTTTGGAAGCTTTTAAACAGAGGCTGGATGGCCATCTGTCAGGGGTGATTTGAATGCAATATTCCTGCTTCTTGGCAGGGGGTTGGACTGGATGGCCCATGAGGTCTCTTCCAACTCTTTGATTCTATGATTCTGCAGCAATAAAGAATGGTAATAGGAAACAAGGAATAGAAAGAAATGCAAACACCCAGATTCTCAAGTTTCAGTCCAAATCAGCAACATGGTCATTTAGGAGATTCTGTTCTTTGCACAACCTGCCACAAAAGTCTCGGAAACTCCCATGGCATTTCAGCAGGTGGCATAACTAACAAGGTGTGAGCCACGGATTTCCCTCACTCAGGCAGTTTCACAAGATGGTAAGAATACAGTGGAAGCATTTGTCTGCCTTCAGTTGCGTGAGCAGTTCATCAGCCTCTATTATAAAGAATTTATCTTTTGTATCTTTGGTTCCTTCCTCCTGGAAGAGACCTGGTGGGTCATCCAGTCCAGCCCCTTTCGGCCAAGAAGCAGGAAAATTGCATTCAAAGCACCCCTGACAGATAGCCATCCAGCCTCTGTTTAAAAGCTTCCAAAGAAGCCTCCACCACACTCCATGGCAGAGAGTTCCACTGCTGAATGTCTCTCACAGTCAGGAAGTTCTTCCTCATGTTCAGATGGAATCCCCTTTCTTGTAGTTTGAAGCCATTGTTCTGTGTCCTAGTCTCCAGGGAAACAGAAAACAAGTTCGCTCCCTCCTCCCTATGACTTCCTCTCACATATTTATACATGGCTATCATATCTCCTCTCAGCCTTCTCTTCTTCAGGCTAAACATGCCCAGCTCTTTAAGCCACTCCTCATAGGGCTTGTTCTTCAGACCCTTGATCATTTTAGTCGCCCTCCTCTGGACACATTATTTAGATGGCCATCCAGCCTCTGTTTAAAAGCTTCCAAAAGAGGGACCCTCCACCACACTCCGGGGCAGAGAGAGTGTTCCACTGCTGAACAGTTCTCACAGTCAGGAAGTTCTTCCTCATGTTCAGGTGGAATCTCCCTGTAGTTTGAAGCGATTGTTCCATTGCAACCTAGTCTCCAGGGCAGCAGAAAACAAGCCTGCTCCCTCCTCGCTTGGACTTTCCCATACCTCTTGATCCATGGCCCTCATCATGTCTCCTCTTAGCCTTCTCTTCTGCAGGCTAAACATGCCCAACTCTTTCAGCCACTCTTCATAGGGCTTGTTCTCCAGACCCTTAATTGTTTAAGTCCACTTTAGAGTCAACCTCTCCCTTCAATTGTGATGCCCAGAACTGGACACAGGGTGATTCCAGATGTGGTCTGACCAAGGCAGAATAGAGGGAGAGCATGACTTCCCTGGATCTAGACACTATACTCCTATTGATGCAGGCCAACATCCCATTGGCTTTTTTTTACTGCTGCATGACATTCCTGGCTCATATTCCCCTCCCCCCACCCTTGAGGACTCCAGGGTCTTTTGCATGCATCCTGCTGTCGAGCCAGGCATCGTCCCCCATTCTGTCTCTTTGCATTTCCTTGCATTTGGAGTCTCTTGCATTTGACCCCATTGAACTTCATTGTGTTCGTTTTGGCCTATCATCTCTCTAATCTGTGAAGATTATTTTGAATTCTGCTCATGTCTTCTGAAATATTGGCTCTTCCTCCCCATTTGGTCCCATCTGCAAACTTGATGATCCTGCCATCTAACCCTCCATCTAAGTCATTAATGAAGACTTCCTCATTACCTCTTAGGATGTTTGCCATAGATGCAGGCGAAACGTCAGGAGAGAATGCCTCTAGACCATGGCCATACAGCCCGAAAAAACCTACAACAACCCAGTGATTCCAGCCATGAAAGCTTTCGACAATACATTAATGAAGATCCTGAACAGGGCCGGGCCCAGGACGGAACCCTGCTTACGGCACTCCACTCGTCCCTTCTTTCCAGGATGAAGAAGAAGCATTGGTGAGCACCTTGGCAGCAACTCCCAGAATTCCTGACCATTGAATAAGCTAGCTAGGGACTTCTGGGATTTGGAAGTCCAAACAGCTGGAAGGCCTCACTTTGAGGATGTCTGCACTAGATGAACCAAGGATCTATACATATCTAACAGTGGTCTACCTTTGGAGCAAGAAAGCCTCATTCCTCTCTGGTGCTTGGACTCTTCCTGCTATAACAAAGTTCCATTAAATGTATTATCTCGGCAAGTCCTTCCTTAATTAAACTAAAGATGGGCAGCTACTGCACTTCCAGAAGGTTACATTGCAACTCTTGAACCAGACTGCTAGGATTGATAGGAGTTAGAGTTGAACAACATCTGGAGGGCCACATGCTGCCCAACTCCCAAACTGAATAAGCCAGGTTTTTTTTTGTCCAGATGCAATGATGAAGCTTGGGAAGAGAGTTGAAGGGTGGAAGAGGTTGAATACAAGCAAAGAGAAGTGTTTCCCACCATTTTCCTCCCTACCTGATGCAGGTGTACCGGAGATCATCAATTGTAGCACAGTCCAACAGGATTGGCAAGGTGAAGCCATGGCAGGAGAGCTGCAGGGGAAGAGGGAGGAATCTTAGCGATGTGTGACTGAAGAGGGGAAAAGGAACCTCCAAAATGGAAAAGCACATGCATGTGTACAAAAGCACTTGGAAAGCCTTCAACAGTTGGCAGGATCCTACAATCCTTTGTCACCAAATACAGCTATTATTATTATTATTATTATTATTATTATTATTATTATTATTTTACTGACACAAAAACACAGTATGTTACAGCAAACGAGATCTATATGCTGGATTTAGTATCACAAAATCACAAGTCGAACACTTCCCAAGCGTCTAGGACTGTGTAATTTATTATGATTATGATTATGATTGTTATTATTATTACTACTATTGTTGTTGTTGGAAACACAAGATGAGTCCACAGCAAACAAGATCACTCTGCTGGCTGTTGTATTGGATCACACGTCGGACACTTCCCAAGTGTCTAAGACTGTGATGTATCGGTAAATAATGCGTGCAGATCCCAGTAAGGTGGCCTTTTGCAGCTGGCAGATGGTAATCTTGTCAGCACCGATTGTGTTTAAGTGCAGGCCAAGGTCTTCAGTCACTGCACCCAGTGTGCCGATCACCACTTGGACCACCTTTACTGGCTTGTGCCAGAGTCTTTACAGTTCGAGCTTTAAATCCTCATATCGTGTCAGCTTTTCCAGTTGTTTCTCTTCGATCCTGCTGTCACCTGGGATTGCAACATCGACAATCCATACTTCGTTTTTTAACATGATCTTGAGGTCAGGAGTATTGTGCTCCAAGTTGTGCAGGCAGGAAAAGAGATTTAAAGATGGGCTCAAAGCCAACCTTAAAAACTCTGGCATAGACACTGAGAACTGGGAACCCCTGGCCTGTGAGCACTCCAGCTGGAGATCAGCTGTGACCAGAAGTGCTGCAGAATTTGAAGAGGCCCCAATGGAGAGTGAAAGAGAGAAACATGCCAAGAGGAAGGTGTGTCAAATCAACCCCGACCGAGACCGCCTTCCACCTGGAAACCAATGCCCTCACTGCGGGAGACGATGCAGATCAAGAGTAGGGCTCCATACAGTAAATATACCGTATATACTCGTGTATAAGCCAACCCGAATATAAGCTGAGGCACCTAATTTTACCACAAAAAACTGGGAAAATGTATTGACTCGAGTATAAGCCGAGGGTGGGAAATGCAGCCGCTACTAGCAAATTTCAAAATAAAAATAGATACCAATAAAATTATATTAATTTAGGCATTAGTAGGTTAAATGTTTTTGAATATTTACATAAAACTGTCATTCAAGATAAGACTGTCCAATTCTGATTAAACCATTATTCTAACCTTCTTCGATGTAAATATGCTTACATGTCCTCCAATAATAATAAATAGAGTAAAATAATAATGATAATAATAATAATAATAATAGAGTAAAATAATAAATATAACAATAACAATAATAAATAGAGTAAAATAATAAATGTAATGGCCATGTTCTGGAGGCAATTTTTCTCCTGACGTTTTGCCTGCATCTATGGCAAGCATCCTCAGAGGTAGTGAGGTCTGTTGGAAGTAGGAAAAAATGGGTTTATATATCTGTGGAATGACCAGGATGAGACAAAGGACTTTTGTCTGCTGGGGCTAGGTGTGAATGTTTCAGCTGATCACCTTGATTAGCATTCAATGGCTTGCAAGTGCCTGGGGGGAATCTTTTGTTGAGAGTGATTTTATGTGCCTGTTTGTTTCCCCTCTGTTGTTTTGCTGTTGTAATTTTAGAGTTTTTTAATACTGGTAGCCAGATTTTGTTCATTTTCATGGTTTCTTCCTTTCTGTTGAAATTGTTCACATGCTTGTGGAATTCAATGGCTTCTCTGTGTAGTCTGATACATGTTAATAAATGTAATATTAACAACAATAATAAAATAATAAATGTAATAATAACAACAACAAACAACAACAACAACAACAAAGTAAAATAATAAATAACACTGACTCGAGTATAAGCCGGGGGAGACTTTTCAGCCTAAAAAAAGGATGAAAAACTAGGCTTATACTCGAGTATATACAGTAAATGTAACCTATAGGAAACTACTGAGAGAGGTACAGAGGGAAATGCTTGGAAAAGTTGCTTTTGTGAACAACATCTGTAATTTCCCAGCCGGTTCAGCAATTTATGTCAGGCTGAAAAAAAAAGACCTGGACTTACAACAATAACACAGATGCCCAAAATAATAAAACGGATTTTCTAGTAAAAACAACAACAACCACAATTGGGGGCAGGAGTGGATGATGGACTGCACAGTTGGTGTCAGAAGAGTAAAATTTCCAAATAAAGCTCTCTTTACTCCCTCCAGAAATAAATGTGTTCACGGGCCAGGCATTTCCGTGGGTGCGTTTACAAGCAAGTCCTAAGCACAGCAGGGACTGCGCTTGGAAAACACACGTCACCTTATCTGAATTTCCTCCTCCCAAATGAAAGCAGATGCTGTGTTTGGTCACTCTGCATAAATCTCTCTTACCCTCTTTTCAGGGCTTGGCTCCAGAAATGGAAAAGATCAAGAGTAGTAGGAGGGGGAGTAGGACACGGAGCGTGCAAAAGAGAAGGCTTGGGAGAACATGTCTCATTTCAAATGTCATGGGACTGCCACTCCCACCAGCCCCAGGTAGCGGAGGTTGCTATGGTTGAAGAAGAACATGGTCTCGCTCGCCCTGCGCCTGCCCTAAAGCAACTTAACCAGCCTGTGCGTGACTCTTCTCCACCCAACCCCATTTAACCAAGTACACTTGAGGCTAGAAGAGAGAGCTGCTGCTTATATATCATCCCTTCACACAAACCTCTACCTTTGCAATTGTAGCTTGGTCCACTCCCTGTTTTTCTAACCACGCAGCGAGCCTGGGATCTGCCACCTCCTCTTCTTTCTCCCAGGAAAATGTAGAAACCTCTGGAGGGGAAAAGGAAGATGTTGAAAGTTATGCAAGTAACCATTTTCTACTTCCTAAAAAGGATCATATTGGCCTTCCCATGGTTCCTTTCTTAACGTGGTTCTGAGATACAGCCAAACTGGGTGGGAAAAGGTGGCCTGAAGAAACAATAGATAACGTTTGGATCCTATTGGTCCATAAAACCTCAACCATCCTGGCTGCTCTCAAATCACAGAGATGGTTTCACAGCTGTGGATTCTCCACAGAGGGAGAAGCAGGGAGGTGGCCAGGCAGGGAAATTGGCAACCCAAATCCTCCCACGCCATTATTATTATTATTATTATTATTATTATTATTATTATTATTACTATTATTCCCCGCTTTATCTCTCTCAAAGGAGACTCCAAGTGGCTAACATCCACCCCTAATATTTCCATAGTCTTTAGGCCAATGGTTCCCAACCTTTTTTGACCCAGGACAACTTTGACCAGAGACCATTTTGACCTGGGACCACTTTCATCAGGGATCACTTGACCAGGGACCACTTGACCAGGGATCACTTTGACCAGGGACCATTTTGACCAGGGACCACTTTGACCAGGGACCACATTGATCAGGGACCACTTTAACCAGGGACCATTTTGATCAGGGACCACTTTGATCAGAAACCACTTTGACCTGGGACTACCTGACCTGGGACCACTTTGACCAGAGACCACTTGACCAGGGACCACTTTGACCAGGGACCACTTTGACCAGGGACCACTTTGACCAGAGACCACTTTGACCGGGGACCACTTTGACCAGGGAACATTTTGACCAGAGACCACTTGACCAGTGACCACTTTAACCAGGGACCACTTGACCAGGGATCACTTTGACCAGGGACCACTTTGACCAGGGACCACTTTGACCAGAGACCACTTTGACCGGGGACCACTTTGACCAGGGACCACTTTGACCAGGGACCACTCTCTAAAAGGGTTACAAATCAGTTTTTGGTCAACTTTAGATTCAGTTGGGTTATTTGGGGTACTTATTCAGAAAATTGCATTGGATAGACCACATCAGCTCTAGTTTCTGATACAGAATATATGCCATACAGTAGTTGCCATCTTCTCGCCCACAGACAACAAGTTCATGCAGGATTTGGTTTCACTAGGTGCAATCAAAAGGTTTGCAGTTTGAAGCCTGAGCACCCGACCTTCAGTCCAACTTACTGTCCATCTAAGCAGTTTGAAAACAGCTGTGAGCTGCGCGTACAGAAATTAGGCACTGCTTAAGCGGGGAAATATTTTATGGCACTATAAAAGAAATACCAGAAAATACCGGTGATCAAAGGAAGGAGGAAGTCTGTGATCAAGGCTCTTCATCATAGAGGATGGAGCGACAGCACTCCCTTGTGGCCGGAAATGAGCATAACCTCCAAGACACCAAAGCTGGGAAAAATGTCGATGTAATATCTCTATCTGTTGTCAGTCCTGCCTGTTTAACAGCACTGAATCTTTGCCGTGTATGTGTTCCGTGATCTGCCCTGAGTCCCCTTCGGGGTGAGAAGGGCTGAATATAAATGCTGTAAATTAATAAATAAATATGTGCCATCCAAGCAATCCTCATGTAGCAAGTTCACAGGTGGGAGATTCCAATGGTATCTCCTGGGTACCTCACCTATTGGTGTTGGACTTTGGAGAGCATGGCTGTCCTGTTTCACCGCTTGCAGGGCCTCTTGCAGAAGTCTCTGGAATTCACGCTCCTTCTCTATCAGTTTCCACTGCAGCCTGGCAGAGGAGAAGAGGCCACAAACCACATTATTTAGCAGAACATACACAAGATGGGGTCAAGGATGGAACAGAGCTGAGGTCTGATGACACTGCAGGTATTACAACAACAACAACAACAACAACAATCTTGGTCTTGTGTGTATTTTGTTATATGTATTTTAACAGCATTGTGTTTTATCTGTCTGTTTTAACTATGTTATACCGATATCCAGAAATTCAGTCTGAGCAGAGGCTTTTTGGTTGGGTTGTAATTCATGTATTGGAGGTGTATTTTATATTGTACTAGCTGTCCCCTGCCAGGCGTTGCTGTGGCCCAGTCTGTTGATCTGGAAAATAAAGTGATGAGAAAGTGTTGGTTTCTAATTCATGTAATTTCTTTATGCTTGTGGGTAAACAGTATTTCTTGCTGTTTCTTTGTCAGTGTTGATGTGGAGAGTGTCTGGTTTGCCCACCCTGGAACATGCCACATATCATTGTCCTTCTTTAAGGGTCCCTTTCAAATCTATGATACTATATCTGTGTGTGTGTTAATCATCTCTATCTATCTCTATCTATCTATCTATCTATCTATCTATCTATCTATCTATCTATCTATCTATCTATCTATCTATCTATGGCTGGATGGCTCTTTGTCAGGAGGGCTTTGATTACATTTTCTTGCCCTGATGAAAGGAGTTGGAGTGGATGGCCTTAAGTATTTTCTGTTGGCCATGGGAGTTCTATGTGGAAAGTTCGCCCCAATTCTGTCGTTCGTGGGATTCAGAATGCTCTTTGATTGTAGGTGAACTGTGAATCCCAGTGACTACAACTCCCAAATATCAAGGACTATTTCCCCCGAACTCCATCTGTGTTCATATTTGGGCGTATTGAGTGCTTGTGCCAAGTTTGGTCCAGATCCATAATTGTTTGGGTCCACAGTGCTCTCTGGATGTAGGTGAACCACAACTCCCAAACTCAAGATCAATGCCCACCAAAACCCTTCCAGTGTTTTCTGTTGGTCATGGGAGTTCTGTGTGCCAAGTTTGGTTCAATTCCATCGCTGATGTAGTTCAGAATGCTCTTTGATTGTAGGTGAACTATAAATCCCAACAACTACAACTCCCAAATGGTGAAATCATAATTTTTGAGTGATGGTTACTCCTTGTGTTTTGAGACATTTTGTTGCCAAATTTGGTGTGATTTCGTTCATTGGTTCTTTTGTTTTTAAGGTACTCATTATGCACAGAGCATTTTTTTATATATAGATTTAATAATCCGGTTTTCCTGTATTTTATTTGTCCTATATGTGAAAGACCTATGGTCTAAGCACTGAAAAAACTTGAAACTATGTTATACACCACCGCAAGCTGCAGGGACAGGCAAGAAACCATCATCATGACCATCATCATGTATTGTTACTTGTCTCTTCTTGTGGCTCAAGGTGGGTACAACATAGTTAAAACAGACAGATAAAACACAACAGTATACTAAAATGCATATAACAAAATACACACAAAAGCAATTCCAATACTGAATTCAACCTCAGCCAATACAGTCAGTGGATAGGGATGATGATAACAAAATTAATTTCAACGAAGAAAAATGTAAGATACTACACTTAGGCACAAAAAAATGAAATGCAGAGCTACAGGATGGGAGCTGGACAACAGTCCATGTGAGAAAGATCTTGGAGCCTTTGTGGACAACAAGGTGAACACGAGCCAACAGTGTGATGCAGCAGCTAAAAAAGTCAATGGGATTCTGGGCTGCATCAAGAGGAGTCCAGTGTCCAGATCGAGGGAAGTCATGGTGCCTTCAAAACAGATATTGACAAGCTGGGAGGTGTCCAGAGGCGGGCAACTAAAAGGATCAAAGGTCTAAAGACTATGAATCCCTATGAAAATCGTCTTAAAGAACTGGGCATGTCTAGCCTGCAGAAGAGAAGGTTGAGGGGAGACATGTTAGCCAGTGATGTATAAATATGTGAAACGATGCCATAAGAAGAGGGAGCAGGCTTGTTTTATGCTGCCCTGGAGACTAGGACTCAGAGCAATGGGTTCAAATGACAGGAGAGGAAATTCCACTTGAAAATTAGGAAGAACTTCCTGATTTTAAGTGGAACTCTCTGCCTCGGAGTCTGGTGGAAGCTCCTTCATTAGAAACTTTTAAACAGAGGCAGGATGGCCATCTGTCAGGGATACCTTGATTGTGCTTTTCCTGAATGGCTGAGGGTTGGACTAGATGGCCTATATGGTCTCTTCCAACTCTATGATTCAATGATGGAATGGGAGCCTGAAAACATCTAAAGCAGTGGTTCTCAACCTGGGGTCCCCAGATGTTTTTGGCCTACAACTCCCAGAAATCCTAACAGCTGGTAACTGGCTGGGATTTCTGGGAGTTGTAGGCCAAAAACATCTGGGGATTCCGGGTTGAGAACCACTGATCTAAAGTACCTCTCCTCCTAGGCCCATAATTTGAGACCAGGGTTTGGGAATGATACAATTCCTACTTCCTCCTGGGCAAAGGCTGTCTTTGTTATTCCCACTGTGCCCTTCCTCAATTTGAAGGGGATCCCTCCCCCCAAAATAAGACAATGAAACTTCCTAGGCATGTGATTTTCCTTTTGGTTTAGCAAAAATCTGGACCTCATCACACTAGAGCACTGGTTCCCGACCTTTGGTCCTCCAGGTGTTTTGGACTTCGACTCCCAGAAATCCCAGCCAGCTTACCAGGTGTTAGGAATTGTGGGAGTTGAAGTCCAAAATATCTGGAGGGCTGAAGTTTGCCCATGCCTGCTTTAGGTATTTCTTCCTTCCCTCAGATCAGAAGTGAACCACAGCCTGAGATTCCTGGCTCCACAAGACCATGTCCCGGTTTGCACTCTGCCATCCCAGAAAGGGCTTACCTCCTGGTCTCTGCCTGCAACTGGTTAAGCTGGGCCATGAGGGGCGAACGGCCCCGCAACGAGTGCTGGGAGTCTACCCAGCTGTTAGTGGTGGTGCCAATGCCAGAACTGGGTGTGTCCATGCTGCCCTTGAGAGTGTGGTCCTCTGCTGGCAAAGGGGACGACTCCTGACTCAAAAGGTTCTCAGCATCTTCTTCTGCACTATGCAAGGGTTCAAGGTGCCCTGGTGCTTGTGAGACTCGTGGCTTCACCTTCAATTCTGGAAAGAGCGGAGAAGACAGAATAAAACTGAAGAAGGCAGCCATCTGATAAATTAACGGAAAAGTTGACAGCTCATAGTATCGTAGAATCATAGAGTTGGAAGAGACCTCGTGGGCCATCCAGTCCAACCCCATTCTGCCAAGAAGCAGGAAAATCGCCTTCAAAGCACTCCCAACAGATGGCCATCCAGCCTCTGCTTCAAAGCCTCCAAAGAAGAGGCCTCCACCACAGTCCGGGGCAGAGAGTTCCACTGCTGAACAGCTCTCACCATTAGGAAGTTCTTCCTCATGTTCAGGTGGAATCTCCATTCCTGTAATTTGAAGTCATTGTTCCACATCCTAGTATTAAGGGCAGCAGAAAACAAGCTTGCTCCCTCCTCCCTATGACTTCCCCATACATCTTGATACATGGTCCTCATCATATCTCCTCTCAGCCTTCTCTTCTGCAGGCAAAATATGCCCAGCTCTTTCAGCTGCTCCTCATAGGGCTTGTTCTCCAGACCCTTGATCATTTAAGTCGCCTTCCTCTGGACACAATTCAGCTTAGAGTCAACATCTCCCTTCCATTGTGGTGTCCAGAATGGGACACAGTGTGATTCCAGATAAAGTGATCTGACCAAGGCAGAATAGAAGGGTAGCTTGACTTCCTTGGATCTAGACCAGGGGTCCTCAAACTGATGAAAATGAAGGAAGACTGCCTTTTCAAGATGTCCTAGTCATCCGTAAACCAGATCAACAATTGGGTCACACCGTTTACAGAAAACCCACACACACAGATATCTACATAAAAACTCCAACCATCACCCAAGTCAAAAAAGAAGCACCATTAAAGCCTTGGCAGACCGTGCAAAAAGAATCTGCGAACCCCACCTCCTCCAAGATGAACTGAACCACCTCAACTGGGCTCTACAGGCCAATGGAGACTCCACCTCAGACATCAGAAGAGCTGCAAACCAAGAACAAGCCACGAGAGTCAAGACGAAGATCCACCCAGAGGAAAAGTGTTCTTGCCATACACAAGGGAACCACTGACCACATAGGGAAGCTGATGAGGAAACACAACCTACAAACGATCTACAGATCCACTAAGAAAATCCAACAAATGCTACGTTCAGCAAAGGACAAGAGGGATCCTCTCACTCTGCAGGAGTCTACCGTATACCATGCAGCTGTGGACAAGTCTACATAGGGACCACCAAACGCAGCACCCAAAAACGAATCAAGGAACATGAAAGGCACTGCAGACTACTTCAACCAGAGAAGTCAGCCATAGCAGAGCACCTGATGAACCAGCCTGGACACAGCATATTATTTGAGAACACAGAAATGCTGAACCATTCTCACAACCACCATGTCAGACTACACAGAGAAGCCCTTGAAATCCACAAGCATGTGGACAATTTCAACAGAAAGGAGGAAACCATGAAAATGCACAAAATCTGGCTACCAGTATTTAAAAACTCTAAAATTACAACAGCAAAACAACAAAAGGAAAAACAATCAGGGACATCTAATCACCTCTCAACAAAAGACTGCCCCAGGCACTGCCAGGCCATCAAATGCTAATCAAGGTGGTCAGTTGAAACATTCACATCTAGCTCCAGCAGACAAGAATTCTTTGTCCCACCCTGGTCATTCAACAGACCTCACTACCTCTGAGGATGCTTGCCATAGATAGGCGAAACGTCAGGACAGAATGCCTCTAGAACATGGCCATAAAGCCTGAAAAAACCTACAACAACCCAGGGAATATATCCTTGGAAAAGTGCAAGCCAAATCATGGGAAACTATATAAAACCACCCAGGTTTTGAATAATTCATGTGAATTTGTGGAACTGGATTCTTCAACTGCTGAATTTCGTTGGTTCTTCGTCTTCTTTATTTGAAGTGAATGGGATCTAGAGCATTTGCAGACACACACCATGTAAGCCTGGGAGATTAGCAATTTCCTTCTCCCTACACGTTCTGCTTCTATGCCAAGATTACTTTAGATCTTATTTTCCCAAGACTGATTTGCCTTCTTCTCCACTCATTCCTCCTACCTGTCAAGAGGATGGTAAATGCCGCCTGGACTGCTTGCCCCATGAGGTTATCCAGAGCGAACACCCAATGAGGCTTGATCTGGAGCTTCCGCAGGGCCTGCTTTACCTGGGAAGGTGGGAGAAGATGGGTTCAGAACTTCCAATCAAAATCCCATTAATTTCCTGTCTTCATTTCTTAGCAGAATTGGGAGATAGGGGGATTAAAATGGAAATGTGGAGAGGTATCGTTGCTGCATTTTTAAACAAACAAAACCAGAAATTCTCAGTATTAAACTGATGTAATTGTAAAGTGACAATAAAAAAAAGTTTAAATAAACAAGGCAATGAATTTAGGAGTCTGGTTGCTTACAAAATATGGAAAAGAACAATAATAATAAACCCTTGGAAGGCGGTTCTTTTGGGAGAGACAAAGCAGGATATAAATAAACATAAACATAATAATAATAATAATAATAATAATAATGCCTTAATTTGGATAGAACATCTGTCAGAAATATTTAAAATTATCTAGGTATTTTAATTACAAAAATGTGAGCCAAGCACTGAAAGGGTTCAATGAATATTATTATTATTATTGTTATTATTATTATTATTATTATTATTATTAACTTTATTTGTACCCCGCTAGCATCTCCCGAAGGACTCGATGCGGCTTACAAAGGCCAAGGCCCTCAATAAAACAACAGCATAACAAATACAACAATAAAACTCATAAAGCAAACCAATAAACATTAAAGCAATAATAATAAAACACTAAAACAATACATCATGACACATTTAAAACTAGGGTCGGGCCAAATGTAATGAATAAATTAAAAGTGCTGGACATGACAGGTAAAATGTAAGGATTTTAGGGTAGGTGCAATGTGCAGGCAATCTTAAATCACTGGTAAAGTGCGTTTGGGACATGATGCTGGGAGTTTCTTATTCTGCAAAGGCACACTGGAACAGCCAGGTCTTCAAGATCTTCCTAAAGACTGCAAGCGTTGGGGCTTGTCTGATGTCCTTGGGGAGAGAGTTCCAGAGTTGGGGGGCCACCACAGAGAAGGCCCTGTCCCTCATCCCCACCAAACGTGCTTGTGACGCAGATGGGATCGTGAGCACAATAGCAATTATAAAACAATTAAAACAAACAAGTTATATATCACAATCAATAAAACCAGTCTAATATTCAACGTTCGCCAGCTCAAAATCCGTACGTTCATTCCACAATGTCAAATCCTATCAATTCTAGCCGTCATTGTCCTTTGTCTATCTGCCAGATTACCCAAAGGTCTGGTCCCATATCCATGTTTTTAGTTTCCTTCTGAAAGAGAGGAGGGATGTCGATGATCTGATTTCCCCGGGAAGTGAATTCCACAGGCGAGGGGCCACCACCAAGAAGGACCTGCTCCTCGTCCCCACCAATCTCACTTGTGAAAGAGGTGGGGCCGAGAGCAGCCCCTCCCCCTCCCCGAAGATTTTAAACTCTCTAATAATAAAAATAATAATAATATCTCTAATACTCTAGGCCCTTGGGAAGAGTCTGATATCCAGAGACAAAGCTCAGACACTTGGACCTAATGTGCAAGTGTGCTGTGTTGTTATGTACATAGAAAGTAATAATAATAACAATAATAATAATATATCAATAATAATAATAGCTCTAATATTCTAGGCTCTTGGGAAGAGTCTGATATTCAGAGACGAACCTCAGGCACTTGGGCCTAAGGTGCATGTGTGCTGTGTTGTTATGTACATAGAAAATAATAACAGCAACACTAACAATATATCAATAATAATAATAATAATAATAATAGCTCTAATATTCTAGGCCCTTGGAACCGCAGACACTTGGAACTAATATGCATGAATGCTATGTTGTTATGTACATAGAATATAATAATAATAGATATGGGTTGTTGTAGGTTTTTTCGGGCTATATGGCCATGTTCTAGAGGCATTTCTCCTGACGTTTCGCCTTCATCTGTGGCAAGCATCCTCAGAGGTAGTGAGGTCTGTTGGAACTAGTAAAATGGGTTTATATATCTGCAGAATGACCAGGGTGAGACAAAGGACTCTTGTCTGTTGGAGCTAGCTGTGAATGTTTCAACTAGCTTAAAACATTCACACCTAGCTCCAGCAGACAAGAGTCCTTTGTCTCAGCCTGGTCATTCCGCAGATATATAAACCCATTTTCCTAGTTCCAACAGACCTCTGAGGATGCTTGCCATAGATGCAGGCGAAACGTCAGGAGAAATGCCTTTAGAACATGGCCATATAGCCCGAAAAAACCTACAACAACCCAGTGATTCCGGCCATGAAAGCCTTCGACAATACAATAATAGATATCTCTATTAATAATAATAATAATAATAATAATAATAATAATAATAATAATAATAATAGCCCTAATATCCTAGGCCCTTGGGAAGAGCCAGATATTCAGAGTTAAATCCCAGATACTTGGACCGAATGCTGTGTTGTTATGTGCAGATGATGATGATGATGATGATAAGCTGTCAGTACATCTTCGTGAAAAAACCGGTTTTTAAAATCTTAATGCTTCCAGGAGAGCTATTTCATTCATTTTTTGGCCAAACAAAGTTAGTTTGGGGAGTCTGGAAAAGTTAAAAAATTATGAAATAAATAACATGGTGTGTTTGTGTGTCATGCAGTCTTCAAGGCTGGAAGGTTTAGTTTCCCACTCACACACCAGTTCATCTGTGCAGTACCGTAGTATGCCCCAAAACAATTATTCTGCCTGAAACAAAGGACAAGATGGCCCCACTCATGCCAAATTCAGCATGGAACAAGAGATTCGACTTGCCATGTTTCAAGCAATGAGTGTGGGAAGCAAGGGCAGTATGTGGGAGACAGTCACCCTACAGCTGTTTCCTCCAAGGACTTAGTGCGAATCCATCCTTCCCAACATTTGCTGCCTAAGACACCTGCCTCACAAGTGTCCGGCATGCGCTTTGCAAGTACTCTTCCAGCCCACAAAGAGTCCAGCAACCTTCTGCAATGCTTCTAAATGAAAGATAATGGGGATATCTCTAATGGACACTCACAGTGTCTTGGAAAGTGAAGAGTGGAACCTGTAGTTGGCAAAGGCTCCGTCCTTCAGCCTGCAATTTAGCCTGGAGCTGGAGCAGGTCTCGAGCCAGCTGCTTGCGGCTGGGAGAACGGATGTAGCCCTTGAGGCAGGACACCAGCTGGGAGACGTGCTCCAAGGACAGCGGGTTCTACAGAGAAGAGGAAGGAGGAGATTATGAAGGAGGAACAAAACCAGAACAAACACAAGACTTGGAAAGGGGCCCACAGCTGATCCTACTGCTCCGACTAGTTTTGCCCCAAAGCTACCCAAAAGCAATGGCTTCTCCTAATATAATAATAATAATAATAATAATAATAATAATAATAATAATAATCTCTCTCTCTCTCTCTCTCTCTCTCTCTCTCTCTCTATATATATATATATATATATATATATATATATATATATAAATGCTCTGTGCATAATGAGTACCTTAAAAACAAAAGAACCAATGAACGAAATCACACCAAATTTGGCAACAAAAGGTCTCACAACACAAGGAGTGACCATCACTCAAAAAATTATGATTTTGTCATTTGGGAGTTGTAGTTGCTGGGATTTATAGTTCACCTACAATCAAAGAGTGTTCTGAACCCCACCAACGACAGAATTGGGCCAAACTTCCCAGACAGAACCCCCATGACTAACAGAAAATACTCAAGGCCATCCAGTCCAACTCCCTTCAGCAGGACAAGAAAATGTAATCAAAGCCCTCCTGACAAAGAGACATCCAGCCACAGATATAGAGAGATATGATTCACACACACACACAGATATAGTCTCATAGATTTGAAAGGGACCCCTGAAGATGGACAATTATATGTTGCATGTTCCAGAGTAGGCAAACCAGACAATCTCTACATCAACACTGGCAAAGAGACAACAAGAAATACTGTTTACCCACAAGCAGAAAGAAATTACATATGTTAGAAACCAACACTTTCTCATTACTTTATGTTACGGATCAACAGACTGGGCCACAGCAACGCGTGGCAGGGGACGGCTAGTAATCTATATAAATAAAAATGTAATGTTAGTTTGTGGGATTAATAACTCTAAAACCACTAGATGAATTGACATGAAATTTGGACACGATACCCCTAACAGACCAACAAGTGACCATCACTCATAAACCCCCCTCCCCCCCAAGAAAAAACGACTCAAAAAACCCAAAAAGCTAAATGACAAAAAGCTAAATGATAATACAGAAAAGGAGGGAAGGGAAGGGAAAAAGAAAGAAAGAAAGAAAGAAAGAAAGAAAGAAAGAAAGAAAGAAAGAAAGAGAAAGAAAGAAGCATGAAAGCAAAGAGCTAAGTAAGGAAGGAAAGAGGCATAAAAGGAAGAAAGGAGAGAAATAATAATAATAATAATAATAATAATAATAATCTTTATTTGTTACAGCGCCACCATCTCCCCAGTGGGGACTCGGAGCGGCTTACATGAGGCCAAGCCCAAATGACAATTACAATAAAGAAAACCAAAAACACAAACCGAAAACGTGAACAATAAACAATAACATAATAATTAAATAAAACACATGAATACATAACAATATGAAAAATAAAAAATAAGCACAAGCAGTATAATGGGCAGGCAAGGAAAGGGAAAGGAAAAGAAAAAGGGGGAGGAAGGAAAGAGGTAGAGAAGGAAGAAGGAAAGAAAAAGGGGAAAGAAAGAGGGAGCGAAGGAAGGAGGGAAAGAAGGAGAGTAAGAGGGAGGGAAGGAAAGAAGGAAAGAGGGATGGAAGGAAAAAGCGAAGGAGGGAAAGAGATAGAGAAGGAAGAAAGGAGAGAAAAAAGGAAGGAAAAGAAAAAAGGGGGGAGGAAGGAAAGAGATAGAGAAGGAAGGAAGGAAAGAAGGAAAGAAAAAGGGAAGGAAAGAGGGAGAGAAGAAAGGAGAGAAAAAGGGAGGGAAAAGAAAAAAGGGGACGGAAGGAAAGAGGGAAGGAGGAAAAAAAAGAGAGAAAGAGGGAGGGAACGTTGGCCACAGCAACACGTGGTGGGTACAGCTAGTAATAATAATAATAATAATAATAATCTTTATTTATACCCTGCCACCATCTCCCCAAAGGGGACTCGGGGCAGCTAACATAAGGCCATGCCCAAGAGTTACAATATAGCAAAATAAAATACAACAAACAAGTAATAACATCAAAATAAAATGCAAACAATAACAAGTATACAATAAGCAAACATAAAATGGTAGAAGAATAAAATCAGAGTGGGTGGGCCAAATGCACAGGATAAAATTGATAAAATCCTGGGTGAGATAAGTAAATGAAGTAATGTGTGTCTCAGGGGAGAACTCAGAAGGGACGAACAGTGGGGTGATATTCACTCCCAGCCACCAAAAGGCTCTCTTCACATGGAAAAGGGGGAGAAGATAGGAAGGGAAGGAAAAAAAGTAATTTGGGAGGAGTAGATTTGTTATGGGGTTGTTGTAGGTTTTTCGGGCTATATGGCCATGTTATAGAAGCATTCTCTCCTGACGTTTCGCCTGCATCTATGGCAAGCATCCTCAGAGGTTGTGAGGTCTGAGCAAAAGAGAAGCTGAGAAACCTGTGGCCCTTTCATGGATTCCCAAAGCCAGAGCGGAACGTACCTCGTCCTGGGCCTTATGCAGGGCAGCTGCAATGCTGGGCAGTTCCTCGGTCAGGACTTTGAACAGGGTGACTCTCCGCTCGCTGTCCTTCTTCAACAAGAACAGACACCCGCTCTCCTCGTGGGAAGAGGAGGAAAGGCTGAGGTCAAAATTGCCCACTTCCTCGGGAGCCCTGGGTAGACACATTGGGAATTGGGTCTGGTCATATTCTAAAACCTCGGCCTCAATTCAACACGCCTTCACATCCCAAGTCTAAACACATAATTCATTTATGTTTCATATATAACTTATACATATTAGGGGTGTGCACATCTTTGTTTTTAAATCATAAGTTGTAAGTAATTCGTAAGTTTTGTATATACAAACAGATATTAAGAAACCTGGGAGGGGGATCAAAACTCACCCAATACTTTTTGTTTGAATACTTTTTTTATTTTTTTATAATTTTATTAAAATTTTCCAAATACAGTGCTTAGTAAAAGTATAATTGGAAATAATAATAATAATAATAATAACAACAACAACAATAATAATCAAGACGTCAAGGCGTACACGCGCGGCTCTGAACGCTAGACGGCAGGACGTAGGGAGGAGCGGAGAAGCGAGGACGCCAGGACGCGACGTGGAGACGCAGTGAAGACCGAAAGCCAAACCGGCAAGGAGCCGGGATTTGCAAAAAGAACAGCTGGGAGAATCGAGGAAGAACAGGAAGAGGGGAAGAGAGGCAAAGAGAGGGGAGCAGCGCGAGGAGAACGACATCACCTGTAAATGAGGTAGACAACCAAGAGAGGGAAAGGGAAGGTAAAAGGACTGAAGGAGGGCGGGAAGTCGACAGGGATGGGGAACAGAGGAGAAGAGAGAAAAATCTGGGCAGCTGGACACGGACAAGAAGAATAGGCAAAAAGGCTAGGTGGGGAAGATAATTATAAAACTACAAACTTAAAGACTATAATTACAAATCTCGGGACTCAAGCCCTGAGTCGGACCCCCCACCCTAACATCTCCCCACTCCCTATCCCGACCAACTCGCCCTAGTGATAGTGGACTCTACCTGCATCGTGATTGACTGAACCCACTGGCATCCAGTCGAAATGAGTGAAGTATCCAAAGAAGCGACACACATTGTATCGGTGTAAATCCTGTTATATATATATATTTTTCTTTTCTTTTCCTTCTTTTCTTTGTCTCTCTCCCCCCCCTCTCCCCCCTTTCCCGCCCCCACCTATCCCCCCTCCCTTGTGCTCTCCCCCCACCTCACCCCCCCCCCACGCTTGACCCCTCTCAAACAGAAAATAACAGAACTCTCCTAGTGAAATAGACAGGAGGAACATTAAGCTTTGTAACAGAGGCTACCCCGCCACGACGGCCATACCATACTGTGCACATCTTATTGTCTATTGAACTCTATATTGTCTTAGATGAATACTCTGTCGTGTTGGTATTATATGTGATATGTGAATGTGAATTGGAATAAGCTAAAGGTGCCATAATTTGAACTCCTTGTTAACAAATGAGGATATTATAAAACTGTATAACAAGATACAACTAGGGTGTATGAGAGGTGGAAACAAGTGGACAGCAACAGACGAAGAGGCCAATAAGAGGGCCAGGATTAAAATAACAGAAAGATGACAACACCGAAGGTAAAGATAGATAAAGACAAAGATAAAGACAAGAAAATGCAAAACAGGAAAGATTCCCTAACGAAAGACCCGCCAGTCAAAGAAATCAAGGAAGCTAAAGAAATGCTTAGTGAAGAAGCCACGGCGAAAAAAGAGGAATTCACAATGAAGGACCTGATGAGAGAAATCTTAAAATTACAATCGGACGTGCAAAGACTTGAAGGAAAACAAGAAAAACAATACAACAATATAAAGAAGGAAATGGAGGAAATGAAGAAAGAAATCAAGGAAGAAGTACAATCAGCATTGAAGGAGGAAGTACAAAACATACACAGGGAAATAGAAAACATGAAGCAGGAAAGAATAGAAGAGGCGAAGGAGAACAAAGCAATAAAACTTCAGCAAAGTGAATTAGAAAAAACGGTACACTCAATGGAAAAAAAATTAGAAAAAAAATTAGAAGTATTGCAAGAACAGCAAGAGAACTTAGAGGCTAAGGAAAAGGAATTCCAACTAAGATTCAGGAACATCCAGGAAGAAGAAAAAGAAAACATCAGAGAAATAATTGTGAATTTGGTGGCCCAGCAGCTACAAATTAGCCGCGAGGACAGCAACGATAACATCGACCGAGTCTACAGGATCCAATCTAACTACGCCAAAAGACACAACGTTCCAAGGGGTATTATTGTATGTTTTGGGAAAAAAAGTGTTAGAGATGGAGTACTGAAAGAGAATGCCAGAAAAGCCACCCACTATAAAGGCAGCAAGATAGCCATTTTAAAAGAACACCCCAAAGCAGTCCTAGAAAGAAGACGCAAATACTTCTTTCTCACTGACGAACTTAAAAAGAAAAATATAAGATTCAAGTGGGAAAGGAGGGAGGGATTAATGGTTACATGGGATGGCAACCAATTTAGGCTAACATCGGAATTCAAGGCTAAAGCATTCTATGATAGATACCTGGGGAAAGACGGCGAGCAACAGAAGAAGGACAAAGAAGAAAAGGATACGGACGACGATTACACCTATGAGACTACTGAGGAAAGACTAAGGAAGAGACCAAGAGAAGTATCCCCGAAGGGATACAAGAACTTTGCGGAATTGGCGGTGGCGACAAGGTATGATGAGAGAGACAATAATGGTAACAATGGCTCAAAAAATTAAAATATATTCTGTGAATGTAAACGGCTTGAATAACCCTAATAAAAGAACTAAAATTTGGCACCAACTTAAGAAAGGACAATTTGATATCATGTCATTACAAGAAACACATATATGTCATAGACACGTGGCCTATTTAACCCAAAAGAAGCTGGGGAAAATGTACTATGCATCGGGAGGTGAAAAGAAGAGGGGGGTTGTAACGTACATAAATGAGAGAATACCGTCAAGACAGGCCTTCAAAGACCAGGAGGGAAGAATCCTAGGCATTATGATTGAATTTGATGGTAGGAAAGTGCTATTGTGTAACATCTACGCCCCTAATGGAACAAAAACAAAATTCATAGAATTGCTCAATAAAAAAATACTAGAACAGGAGTACGATGATTTAATCATATTGGGAGATTTCAACGGGGTCCTAGATAATACAATAGATAAGACCAAGAGCCCCAATAAAGCAAAGAACCAACATGCTGGGGAGCTTCCCAAGGAGTTTAAAATGTTAAAAGAGAAATTAGGGCTGCAAGACATCTGGAGATTCCACAATAATAATGTACGGGACTACACCTTCTTCTCCGACCGACACAATACATGGTCTCGCATCGACATGATATGGGGATCAGAATCAATAATAGCTAGAACAGTTAAAGTCAAAATACAAACAAGGGTAAACTCAGACCATGCCCCATTAGAATTAACTCTGGCAAAATTAGACAACAGGAAAGGACTATACAGATGGAAATTAGACGATCTATTGATAAGGGAACATAAAGATCAAGAAATCAATAGGAAAATACTAGAAGAGTTCTTCCGGATTAATACTGAACAAGACACGAAAGTAGAGACCATTTGGGATACCTCCAAGGCTTACATTAGAGGTCACTTCATTCAACAGAAAGCAAAAAGGAATAAAATTAGGAAAGAAAAGCAACGAGAGATAGAAGAAGAAATAGAAAGAACGGAAGGGGATCTAAAAAAACGACCAGATAATAAGAAACTGAAGTTACAATTAGAGATATTAAGGAAAAAAGCAGACTCATTGCAATTAGAAGAAATAAGTAAAAAAATAAAATATATAAGACAGAACCAATTCGAAAACGCCTACAAAATAGGGAAATATCTGGCCTGGAAAATAAGAAGGAAGAAGTTTAAACAACAAATAAACAAAATAGAGGAGGGAGAGAAGTGTTATACAAAACAGAAATAGAAGAACAATTTCGTAAGTTCTATAAAAAACTATACACTGATGATAACATCCCCAAAGAAAAAGTAATTCAATACCTAGGGAAACGGAGAATAAAGAAACTAACTGATGAAGAAAGGGAAATATTAAACAGGAAAGTAACAGAAGAGGAAATAAGAACAACAATAGCTGGCCTACCAATGAATAAATCCCCAGGTCCGGATGGACTCACAAACAAATATTATAAGACGTTTAGCGATATACTGACACCACACCTAACAAAAGTAATAAATAGAGCGATGGAGGATAGAAAAATACCAGATACATGGAAAACAGCACTAATAACTCTAATTCCCAAGGAAGAGCAAGATAATACAAAAACTAAAAATTTCCGACCAATATCCTTACTCAACGGGGATTATAAGATATTTGCGGGAGTGATAGCTACAAGATTAAAAAAGGTGTTGAGCGTAAGAATACACGAAGACCAGACCGGCTTCTTACCGGGGCGACAAATAAACAACAATATGAGGCTGATACTCAACACACTAGAGTACTACAACAGACACATTCAAAAAGAAGCAGGACTCCTGTTCCTTGATGCGGAAAAAGCATTTGACAGGGTCAACTGGGGATTCATAACGGAACTGCTAAAAGAAATGGACGCGGGTTTCCACTTTATAAATGGGATTAAGGCAATCTACTCGCAACAATCAGCATGCATTATTGTGAATGGGCAGACATCAAAACCAATAAATATAAATAGAGGAACTAGACAGGGCTGCCCACTGTCCCCATTAATATACATCCTGACCCTGGAAGTTATGCTTGATAGTATCAGAAATAATAAAGAAATTAAAGGTCTAAAAGTGAAATCATATAATTACAAGGTGGCAGCATTTGCCGACGACGTGATGTGCATTATAGAGGAGCCCCTGAGTCAATGGGAGAAATGGTGGGCAGAAATCGCTGACTTCGGCGAAGTAGCAGGATTAAAGATAAACAAAGAGAAGACCAAATTCCTGATTAAAAATATGTCAAGGGAGAGGAAAGAGGAGCTAAGAAAAAGGACGGGGGTGGCAATTGCATCGAAGGTTAAATACCTGGGGATACAGATAACCACCAGCAATGCCCAGCTAATAAAAAACAACTATGATAATAAATGGAAATCAATAAAAGAAAAAATGAGATACTGGTCAAGATTGG